CTCTAATCTCAACACTGTTAATTAACATTTGATGATGGAAGTTTTTATAACAGTTTGTGTTCCACAATATTCAGGGGCAAGGATGCATGAAAAATGCACGGTACAAGAAGAACCAGAAACTTGTCAACAATGAGGACGAGGTAGAAGAGACTAATACAGTATCAGATGGACAAGGCTCTAGTAGTAACATCTCAGAGGATGATAACGCTTCTCAAGAAAACAGTGGAGCTACTTCGGGATCTAAATCTGCTCAAAACTCAAATGTGAAGGCCAAAGCTAGCAGGGGATCAGCAACAGATCCCCAGAGTCTCTATGCAAGGGTAATTTAATTACTTCTAATACAAAATGTCTTTATATTTCTCTGTACTTCATAATTATTTTTTTAATATGTGACGCGATTGTATAGTTTATAGTTTGTACATGATACTTATTTCTCTTTTTGAATGTTGCAGAAAAGAAGAGAGAAAATAAATGAGCGACTAAAAATCCTACAGAATCTTGTTCCAAACGGAACAAAGGTAAATATTGTTGGCGTTTTTCTATATTGGGGTAGGGGCATATGCCAAATTCATTGGAGTTGTACCACAGAATTAATTAATTTCATTCGTATATACAGGTTGATATAAGTACTATGCTGGAAGATGCAGTCAATTACGTGAAATTTTTGCAGCTCCAGATCAAGGTACGTAATAGGAGACATGGATTGCATAAAATTGAAAATCATTGTTTTCTCATAAAGATTTAGACATCAACATATATACAATCAAACTATAATTAACTATTGTATATTTCTTTTCTTTTCTCTTTTTTAGCTTTTAAGCTCCGATGATCTATGGATGTACGCTCCGCTTGCTTATAATGGACTTGACATTGGACTCAATTTCAACATGAAGAATTCTCCACCGCAATGAGCTTAAAGAGGCTAGCGGAAAACAACTCCTTGGAAAAAAAAATAAAAAATCAAAATATAGCAATATAATATGTATTCTAACTTATTATTGGATGTATTAAAAAACAAAAAAAACCACTTATTATTTGCTAATTTGAATAAATCAGCAGTTTCATCATATGCTCGAAGAGGATCGTCACTTTTTTTTATTAATCACGTGCCGTCTCTTTCTGACTTTTGTGAAAACCATTAAATGATTAGGTAGACACTTTGTTGCTCTAACTTCGGGACGGTTTTAAGTTCAAAGGACATCGGAGTAATGATCTAAAACCTAAAATACACAAATTTACAACTCCATCTCATTCTTGACATCGGAAAAAGAAATCCATGAATATTTTATTCTCGACCTCATTTATGAAGTTCTAATTGAGATCCATAAGGAACTGGAGGAGATCTTTGACTGATACTGTGAACATAACACAGGCTTCATTTAAATCTGTAACAAGTTTATTTCTTTCATTCTGACAAGTTCAAATTGTACTTTAATTTCTTTGATAATTATTATTAAATTAATTTTATTATTGCTATTTTGATTAATCATAATTTAATTTATTGTTGTATTTATACAAAAGTTTTATAAATGAAAGTGGTGATGTTTTATACTTCACTCTTTTTTAAGGGACAAGTAACATTAAAACGGAATTTGGTGATTTACTTTGTTTGATTATTTTTATAACAGTTAAATTATTATTTTTATAATATTTGCTAAATAACTTGGAATTTGAAAACATAAGAAATTTGAGATTTGTTTACATTTTTATAACATAAGGAAGATTGGTGCTCCCAATGTCATAGTCTCGAGAGATTGCTGGATTATATCTATTGTTGGATTGAACACTTACCATTAAGTGAAAAGCTATAACTTTTAATCAGGGTTTAACTCTTTTTAATTATCTTTACTAGTCCAAAAGTCATGGTTCAATCTGACTTTGACCCCACACTAGGCCTTACCAAGATAGGATGTTGGCCTCTCCAACAATTCCCCCAACACCAACCAGCCTATTGTACCATCTTGGGGAATCGGATCCATGACCTCGGCTCTAATACCAAGTATTGTTGGATTGAGTACTTACCACTAGGCCAAAAGCTCTAGCTGTCAATTAAGATGCAACTTTTTCTACTTATCCCTACTAGCCTAAGCGTTATGATTCGATTTGACTTCGACCCCACACTCGGCCTTGCAAAGGCAGGATGTTGGCCTCTTTAACATCAGAATGTTGTTGTATTAGTCATGGTAAACAAGCATTTTTGAGGAAGTATACTCAATCTCTACTTCTAATTTGTCTTGAACTTCACATGTTTATTGAGTAACACAATTTGCTAATCTTGTATTCTTAGAAATATTACCAGACTTATAGCATGTGGATAACTGTGCTTCAAGAATCAAGTTTCAATGGTGTGATTATCCTTCCCACAATAAGTGTACAACTTTCCTCCATTGCCTCGTCCACGCCCAAGATTTGAGCATCCTCTTCCTCTGAAAGAAGGTTTACCTCAAAAAATTTGTTGCTGCTATTGACTAGTAGAATTCACAGCCATCTTTGTCATGTCGAGATTTTCTACATGAAGGTCACACCTTAATGATCGTTCTTGCTTAATGACAAGTGAAAAGGTCTCATTTAGATTATGCAGTGTTTCATGAGCATGATTTGAGATTTTACACTAGCAAATTGTTCATTCAATCCCTTTAAGAATTGAATGACATGATCTCTGTACTTGGAGTTTTGAATTTCAGTTTGCAAGAATGTACCACAATTGCTAAATGCAGCGTATCTACAACTTGGAAGTTGTTATGAACCTATATAAAACCCATATATCTGAAGGCCCAATAAAGGGCAAATACGTGACAGTGATACAGTGGCATGTTAGGCCCAATAAGACTATAGATAAACTATATAAATAGAGAAAAAAACCTACAGGTATGACATGATCTCTCTTACTATTATTGTAACGCTCGTCTGCAACCGGTTAATTAACATTCATATGATAGTAAGTGCAACATGTTCAACTTAATTAATGCGGAAGCTAACTGAATAAATTTTCTTTTTTTCCTTATGTATTGCAAGCTTTTTCACTTCCATGGCCAAAATAAAACGGACAACATTTCGTCTGTATTTTGGACCACCGGGGATAATTCTCACTAAGATAATTTCAACCTGATTGATAGTTTAGTATAATCCAGGCATACCACAACATAGATAAAACATATTGCCCAACCATCCATGATCTAGGCTATCACATAATCATACTGTCTCAAAACAATGTCCATGATGTTACTATTATGTTGTCACCGTGCACACACATCACCCCATTGGCTAACGCCGTAATCAGTTGTGCACAGTGATATGCCATATCAGGTTATCTAATTCATAGATACCTAGAGAGAGTACCTGATCCAATAGTAATCTATTAGTCCTTGACTAGACATTTCTATCATCAAGACAGAACAGAAGTGGTTGGAGATTTGTAACTCATCCCTAAGAATTTTGAGTTCTATGAAATAATCTGAAACGTTTCTATCTCCTTACTCCAAGCAATAAATTCCTTCCTTCAATTCTGAAATTTTAAAAATATCATATTGCAAAAAATGTTGCTTTAGATCATTCCACGCATCAACTACCTTGTGTATCCACAAAATTTATTTTGCTATCGTTTCTGAAATCGAACGATGGATCCTTGAAAGGACCGTCATGTTGCAATGTTGCCACAACAAGAATGAAGGATCATTTAAGTTTGGAATCAGCATGCTACCATCTACGAAGCTCAGCTTATTCTTTGAGAGTAATGTCATGTTCATTGCACGAGCCTAGACATGGTGATTCTTGCCATTGAGTGGCGATGAAACAAGATCAATGAATGGATTTTCACTCGGATGCAAGCAAAATGGATTTGCCGAGTTGCTGATGAAATTTGGGAGAGCTATAAGTTGCCAAGAGGAAGAACATAAGATCGAAGAAAAAGCAAGAAAAGAATACTAGAGAGCTTAGCTCTAATACCATATTAAAAGAAGTGACGAAAAACTTATTTTGGTGAAAGATCATTTTCATTGATTGAACATGAACTGAAGCATGGCTACTTATAGTAGCTAAGGTATATGCCGGGAGCTGCTCAAACTAGCTAACAGAAAGAAGAAAAAAAAATTGAATATGGAAAAACTAGTTATAGTTGTACAACTACATATCGTTTGAAGGAAAAATTGCGATGCATGTATACTCAAAGATATTGGTTCAAGTTCGGTTTTTTTTTTTTTTGAGTAAAAAAACTCAATGAATTGTTTGGAATTTATAAGTTATTAACCAGTAAAGGAAATTCAGTATAAAAGATGGAATTCTAAAACCTTCTCAACTTATTCTAGGAGCATGTCTTTGGTACTCATGTAGTACCTATTCCTTTACTAAAGATGGGAAAAAGTTGGACTTAAATGATATAATCATAAAAGGGTGAGTAAAATAGGTAAAATGAGTTATTACTATTTTTCCTTTTTAGTAAAGAATATATTGAGTATTCAGTAATCCCAAGATATTTTTCTATTTTCGATATCTAAATATTTATAAGCAATGATCTAAAAGTTTTTTCAGAACATAATTAATCTATTATACTATATTTGAATCTTACTGTTCAGAAGCACATATACTTCGAAATATTTGGTGTACTGATTTTGGATAGACATTAGCAAATATTATTAGTTTCCATATTTAATTTTAACTTCAGGGAAATGATCCGTTTATAAATTTTTTTAAATTTTTTTTACAAATTATATAGTGTTCTCCCAGTAGAACATAATGTAGTTTGTAAGAGTTTATAAAAAAAAAAAAATTGTAAATATAACCTGTATCTTAACTTTAACTATAACTTTTAATTTTTCATTAATACAAGTGAAATATAAAAATAATATAATAAATTCCTGTTTACCAAAAAAAAAAAACATAATTTTGGTTGAGTTGGTGCAATCTTAGTGCTGAGAGTGCCTTAATACTTCGCCATCATTTCTCATTCTCATGAAATAAAACGACACTACTGAGAGTGCAGTTTTCCAAGTCACCACTCTGCCATGGCCTCAGCTGAACAACCTCTTAAGAAGCGAAAGCATTACGAGGCTTTATCAGAATCACCACCGTCTCCGCCACCGCAGCCGCCAGTATCCGAGGCTAGCCCACCCTCGCCGCAAACCCTACCTACGCCACCTACTCCCCCTCTGTCTCAGGACGAGATTCTCGCGAAGCGGAGGAACAAGGATGAAATTCGAAGCGTGTACGAAGGTTACAAGCGGATTAAGTTTTGCTTGTTCAAGAAAGACGGTCCATTCATGTTTGAGCTTGAACAGAGTTATCTCGCTCTCATTACTTCTTCCAGAGGTAAGCGCCTTTTTTGATTAACAGGAATTTCTTCGTTTTTGATTCACTTGTCTATTAGGATCTTAGGATACATTTGATTGTAATCGAAATGTGATTTTACTGTAGGGGAATGTTGCCATGAAATTTTCTATAGAAAACCGTTGAGGAATCGTTCTATGAGAATCTTGTGCATAGAATTCACGCGGTTTGGTGTTGATTGCATTTGCCCTAAAATGTTGTTTCTGTAATTTGCTGCTCTCATACTAGCTTTAACGCCGTGTTTGGAGTATTTGACATGAAACAATCAATTTCTTTTCTTGTTTGGAATATTTTCTATAGAACACCATTGAGGAATCATTCTGATTCACCTGGTTTGGTGTTGTTTACATTTGCCTTAAAATGTTGTTTCTTTAATTGATTGCTCTCATACTCACTTTAACCCCGTGTTTGGAGTATTTAAAATGAGGCAATCAATTTCCTTTCTTGTTTGGAATGATATTAGTTTGAGAATTCAATTCATGTCGAAATGGTTTTGTCTGTAATGATATCTCATGATTTAGAAATCTTATCCTTATCACTCTTGATAGGATTTGTAAATCATTTCATTTCAAATGCTTTTTTGAAGTTGAAAACACTACGATTTGTTTTTGTCAAGTATGCAGTTATATGGCATTTTTTTGTCATAAAATTAACTTTTTCCTCATGAGGCCATGAATATTTTGATGAATGGAAAAGCTCAAATGCCATCTTTTTAGAAGCATGTATCGGTATTATTGATGTCGGGATGTTAACAGTAAAGAACCTTGGGATACACCACCCCAAAAGCTACCTCAAAGGATGGAGTGCCCAAGACCTTATAAACTCCACATTAGTTGCACATACAACCAATGTGGGACTATATATCTCAACACGCCCCCTCACACGAGAGCCCATTGGGCTTGAAGAGTGGACAATGCAACAGGCTCAGCCTACTTGTGCTAAGAAAGTCCACAAGAGAAAGTGGGGGGCGACGAGGCTCTGATACCAAGTAAAGAACCTTGGGATACACCACCCCAAAAGCTAGCTCTAAGGATGGGAGTGCCCAAGACCTTATAAACTCCACATTAGTTGCACATACAACCAATGTGGGACTATATATCTCAACATTAACATTATCTCGAACAGTAATTAATGCTTTAGTATTTAACGTGTAATCTGCATGAAGTTATAATAATAGTAATACTAATCTGAGAACGCAGAGTCTTTTGGGTTTGTGGAAGGATTTTTCTGCTTTTATTTTCTATTTCCATTTTCAGGAAATGATTTTCATTGTCCAGATTTTCCAATTTTTAAAATATATTTGGTTGATATAGTTTTTATTATAATTACAAAGTTGCCATCGCACTGTGTTTTTTACTTACTGTTTCCAGAAAGGGTAAAAAATGACTATTTGTTGTTTTAAATTCAGCCCTATTTTAAGAAATGTTTTCATGAAAACATTTTCATTAAAACCAACCCAAACACATCATGAACCCTATTTTCTTGTTTTTATTGAAAATTGTAAAGAACCTTGGGATACACCACCCCAAAAGCTAGCTCAAAGGGTGAGAGTGCCCAAGGCCTTATAAACTCCACATTAGTTGCTCTTCAACCAATGTGAGACTATATATCTCAACACGCCCCCTCACGCAAGAGCCCTCTTGGCTTGAAGCGTGGATTATGCAACAGGCCCAATCTTTGGTTTACCTTTTTGTGCTTCCACTTTAAAGTGGGGGGCGGCGAGGCTCTGATACCATGTAAAGAACCTTGGGATAAGATTCAGGACTTACCAGTGGTTCAGACGATTGAGGTTGCTGCTGAGACAATGTGGGCTGTTTCTTTCTTTCAGGTGTCATAACCTTCCGTATCTCTGGTGTACTTGATGTATCAATCACAGGAGGATTACTCACAAGAGGATCAGACACAGGATGAACAGACACAGGAGGATCAGACACAGGAGGAGGATATACTGACACAGGTGAAGGAGTAGACACTGAAGTCTCAAAGAAGGAAGGTGATGAGTCTTCTGGTGAATTGTTCTCCCCCTGAAGATGAGGACCTTGGAAAAAGGACTCAGATTCCTGAATTATTCTCTGTTGTAAATAATTATTATTTAGTTATTATTTAGTTATTTATTTGTTGTATTGGGCCAAGCCCATTAGGTCAAAATTAGGTCAAGTATTCTCTATAAATAGAGAACCCTTTGTACAGATTATACACAATTCAATAATATTTCAAATACCCTTTTCTTTCAAGTTGGTATCAGAGCTCTCGACCCAGAGGGCTCTGCTTCCGCAATTATCTCCGTTAAAACAGAAACCTTCTTTCTTAGCCTCTTGCCGCCATTAGCCGCCACCAGAAAATTTTTCCGGTGGACCTTTTAGACCAAGAGGACCAGTTTTCAAATCCTTTTTCTCTGATCTATCAGCTTACGGACGTGTTATAATCGTTTGACGACCGGACCTTCTCAAAACAACACAAGGCCGGTACTGTTCATCGCGTTTTGGACACTTTTCCGGCGACCTTTCAACTCCGACCGGCCACAGAAAGGTTCGAGACCGTCGGACGACCTCGCCGCAGAAATTTCAGCTCCGGCGGCCGCCGCACGCGCTCTCACGCGCCGCCACACTCCCGGTGAGTGAGGCCCACTCGCAGACACCTCCACCGGCGCGTGGAGGCGCGTGGGACACTTTTTCCAGCTCTTGCCAAAAAGTTTTCTGATCTTCTCCTCATCCTCTTTCTGGATCTGTGCTCCTCTCTTTGATCGGACATCGTTTGGTATTTATTTGTGATTTTTTGGCTTCTTGGAGTTTTTCTTTAACCATTTTCTGTGCAGTATGGCCTCTTCTCAAAGGAGTTCTTTTTTAAAATTTTATGATGGTACCTCTTCTAGACCTAAGAGAGATGACCGATGGTGTTCTTATTGTAAAAGAATAGGTCATATCAAGGATTTATGTTTTCGCCTTTATGGAAAGCAAACTGTCTTAGAAAAGATGGCAAGGATGCGTGGTCAAGCGCATTTTACTTCTTCTGAAATAACCCCTGCACCTAATGAGACCCAATCTGCATTTCGTCCAGATGAGTTGGAACGACTCCGAACCATTCTTGATTATCTGAGTAAGTCATCTTATACTAGTGCTTTGGCTATGACTGGTATGAGCTCCAAAACTCATTCTTTCATTTCTTCATGTAATGATTTTAAACATTCTTGGGTTGTTGATTCTGGTGCTACTGATCATATGGCTTGTTGTGCTGACTCCTTTATTTCTTATCATCCTACCATTGGAACTCATACAATATCCATAGCTGATGGCTCACATACATCAGTTGCGGGTTCTGGTGACATAAACTTATAGCAGTCCTTACATCTTAAGGATGTTCTTCATGTTCCTAAACTCTCCACGAATCTTCTTTCTATTCACAAAATTACAAAAGATTTGAATTGTACTGTAACCTTCTTCCCTACCCATTGTGTTTTTCAGGATCTCGCCACGGGGAAGACGATTGGTAGTGCTAAAGAGCAAGGTGGGCTGTACTATCTGGTGTCAGAATCTCCCACAAATAAAGTAACAGATCACACCTTCATGTCTCATGGTCAATCAACTGCTGATTCTTTAATTTGGCTGCATCATAAGCGGTTGGGTCATCCTCCATTTAGTTTACTCAAATCTTTATTTCCGTCATTGTTTTTGTCTAAGTCTGTTGAGTCTTTTCATTGTGATGTTTGTGAATTTGCTGAGCATCATCGTGTGTCTTTTCCTTCTAGTATTACTAAGAGTGTTGAACCTTTTGATCTTATTCATTCTGATGTTTGGGGTCCTTCTAAGGTCCCTCATTCTTCTGGAAATAAATGGTTTGTTTCTTTTATTGATGATTGCACTCGTGTAACTTGGGTTTACTTAATGCGTGAAAAGTCTGAGGTACCACAACTGTTCTTTCAATTTTATAAAATGATTGAGACTCAATTTTGTAAAAAAATCAAAAGACTAAGGACAGATAATGGTACTGAATATGTCAATCACTCTTTTTCCCAATTTATACAAAATCAAGGTATGATTCATGAACTTACTTGTGTAGACACCCCTCAACAAAATGGGGTTGCTGAAAGGAAAAGTCGTCACCTTCTTGAAGTTGCTCGTGCCTTACTGTTTCAAACACATGTACCCAAATGCTATTGGGGAGATGCCATTCTTACTGCAGCGTTCTTGATCAATCGTCTACCCACTCGGGTTCTCGATCATGTAAGTCCTATTCACTCCATGACTTCTTTTTTTCCTTCTGTTCCAACTTTGCAAAGTCTTCCTCCTCGAGTGTTTGGGTGTGTTGTCTTTGTTCATATTCATAAACAGCATCGCAGTAAGTTGGATCCTAGGGCTCTTAAATGTGTCTTCCTTGGATATGCTCCTGATAAGAAGGGCTATAAGTGCTATCACCCTGGAAGTCGGAAATTTTTTGTTTCTATGGATGTTACATTTCAGGAATCTGAGTCCTTTTTCCAAGGTCCTCATCTTCAGGGGGAGAATAATTCACCAGAAGACTCATCACCTTCCTTCTTTGAAACTTCAGTGTCTACTCCTTCACCTGTGTCAGTATATCCTCCTCCTGTGTCTGATCCTCCTGTGTCTGTTCATCCTGTGTCTGATCCTCTTGTAAGTAATCCTCCTGTGATTGATACATCAAGTACACCAGAGATACGGAAAGTTATGACACCTGAAAGAAGGAAACAGCCCACATTATCTTAGCAGCAACCTCAATCGTCTGAACCACTGGTAAGTCCTGAATCTCATATTTCTGATCATGATGTTAATACTTCTGATGACTTACCCATTACTACTAATTCTGATGATTTACCCATTGCTCTTAGAAAAGGAAAAAGAGTTTGTCCCAAGAAATCTTGTCCCTCTTGTACTCAATACCCTATCTCCCATTTTGTTTCCTCTGCTAATCTTTCTGTGCAGCACAAAAGCTTTGTTTCAACACTAGACTCTATTGCAATCCCAAAATCAGTACATGAAGCCTTGAAAGATAGGAATTGGGCTCAAGCCATGCAAGAGGAGATGAATGCTTTGGAGAAAAATAAAACATGGGAGGTTATTGATAGACCCAACGGAAAGAAAGCAGTAGGGTGCAGATGGGTTTATGCCCTGAAATATAATTCTGATGGCACTCTTGAGAGATACAAGGCTCGATTAGTGGCCAAAGGTTACACTCAAACCTATGGCATTGATTATGAAGAAACCTTTGCTCCAGTTGCAAAGATGAATCTAGTAAGAATCTTGTTATCCTTTGCTGCCTATTACAATTGGGATATAAATCAATTTGATGTGAAAAATGCTTTCCTTAATGGTGAGTTAGAAGAAGAAGTCTACATGGAAATCCCGCCTGGTTTTGATTCTGTGAAGGGGGAAAATAAAGTTTGTAAATTAAAAAAGGCCTTGTATGGATTGAAGCAGTCACCTCGTGCTTGGTTTGGAAGTTTTACTAAGGTTATGATGACCTTAGGATACAGACAGAGTCAAGGAGATCACACTCTTTTCTTCAAGCACTCTGGGAAGCTTACTGTGCTCCTTGTATATGTTGATGATATTATTATCACAGGTGATGATTTTATGGAGAGACAGATTCTGCAAACACGGCTTGCCTCTGAGTTTGAAATCAAAGACTTTGGGAAACTGAGATATTTTCTAGGGATAGAAGTAGCTCATTCAAGCAAAGGAATTTTTATCAGCCAGAGGAAATATGTTTTGGATCTTCTCAAAGAAGCAGGAAAGCTCGGGTGTAAACCCTCTAATACTCCTATTGAGCAGAATCACAAGATGGGCTATGAAGAAGAGAGTCTTCCGGTTGATAAAGGACAATATCAACGGCTAGTTGAGAAATTAATATATCTGGCCCATACTAGACTAGACCTAGCTTATGCTGTTAGTGTTGTCAGTCAGTTTATGCACGATCCAAAGGAAAAACACATGCAGGCAGTAGAGAGAATTCTTTAGTATCTTAAAGGTACTCCTGGTAAAGGATTGTTATTCCGACGTGATGGTAATCTATCTTTAGAAGTCTACACAGATGCTGATTATGCTGGATCCGTGACTGACCGTCGTTCTACCACTGGTTATTGCATGTTTCTTTGCGGTAACTTGGTGACATGGAGAAGTAAGAAACAAGATGTGGTTGCCAGATCAAGTGCAGAAGATGAATTTCGAGCTATGGCTCAAGGCATTTGTGAGTTATTGTGGCTGAAAATTGTACTTGATGATCTCAAAATAAAATGTGAGGGACCTATGAAGCTGCTATGTGATAATAAGTCCGCTATTTGTATAGCTCATAATCCAGTTCAACATGATCGGACTAAACATATTGAGGTCGACCGCCATTTCATCAAAGAGAAACTTGATAGCGGGTTGATTACCACTCCATACATTCCCACTGGGCGTCAATTAGCTGATCTATTAACAAAGGGGCTTCCTTCAGACAGATTTCAAAAACTTACTAGCAAGCTGGGAATGATAAATATCTATTCCTCAGCTTGAGGGGGAGTGTTGTAAATAATTATTATTTAGTTATTTATTTGTTATATTGGGCCAAGCCCATTAGGTCAAAATTAGGTCAAGTATTCTCTATAAATAGAGAACCTTTTGTACAGATTATACACAATTCAATAATATTTCAAATACCCTTTTCTTTCAAGTAAAATGATAACAGGAAATAAACACAAACCATGCCCTAAATTTTCAGAATGATCCCCATTATCATGATGATATTTACTACCCTTTTAGAATATGAGGTTGGGTCTTTCAGTTCGAATGTTTAAAATCTGCTGAGGATGGTAGCTAAAATCGCAATCTTCCTTGTGAGACTGCGGATCTTATAATTTTTCCCCTCACCCACGATCCCACTCATGCTCAAAATCTCGTTTTGGTGGGGGTAGCTTGGGATCGTCAAGTAAGATTGTGGACAATCGCGCCTTGCTGCTAAAAAACCTGAATTTGAAAACTTATGCCTACTGAACTTTAAGCACCTGGTTTTCAGGATCTGTTTTGAACCGCCCTTCATTTTGAAGCCCTAACCCACTGTCATGTTGCGGCTGCATCCCTCTCCACTCTCGACGGCTGAACCTGAATCCCCCTTCCCTTCATTTTGAACCCGTAGTGTTGAATCCCTCTTCTCTTCTGCTGCTGCTGTTTTGGCTAGTTTTTAGCCTCCTCACCTCTTGTGCTGCTATTTCCGTTGATTCAGCCACTACTTTGGTTCTTGGGCTCTACTGCAGTACTGCTGGTTTAAACTTTTCTCTTCTGTTCTGTTGTTCTGCCGCTGTTTTGCTTCTCTGTGTTACTTCTTTTGTACACACACATATATATGCTCGAATATAATTTTGTCTCCTAGGTATCATTTTATGGTCTATGTTATGATCACATGATTTACATGCTCCCCTCCCCCTTCTGATCCTAGGTGGGATCTCGATTTTGATTACTATGTTGTTAAGCATATATCACCTACCACCCAAAATAATTGTTTGGGATGTACTCACTAAATCTTGAGGTAAATGTTAAAACCAGGAGCACAAACAGGGAATAGGGAGAGTAGAAATTGACACAGAATTTAACATGGTTAAATCTATAGTGTACTAAAGGTCTAACATGCATGGGAAAAACTGAACAAAAAGTCGATATGATCAATGAAGATTATAAGGAGTAACCGCTCAACACTCAAGCCCTAATCTCATTACTCCCAAACTGTCACTGACTGAAATTTACGATACTCTACAATGTAACTACTGATTCACCTAAATATCAGCCCAATCTTCCTTGTGAAAATTCCTTGTTTGATCTTATCACAGGATTTTCAAGTCAGGTTGCATTTCGGGCCAAGACCAAATCAAAAGCAATGCTATGATAATAGTAAATTTGCTTCTGTTTGGACTTCTGTGGTGCAATTGCATTGGCAATAATAATCATGTTTCCATATGTTAAATATCAAAGTGCTGCTGCTATAGTTATTTGAATTTGATCACTTTTATGTAAAATTGCTCCCACATGAAGCCCTCATTCACCCACGTGTGTGCTTTTCCTTTGAATTTCCTTTTTTGACAAGCAAAAAGGAAATTGTTAATGCAACTTTGCTACTTTGGTCGGGGTCTTACTCGGAACCAATAAATGGAGAAATAACGCTAATAGACCACTGCTACATTCATCATTCAGCTGCTTTGTTGCCTGCAGTGATGTGTTTCTTTTATGCTTGTATAGTATCTAGGATTTTGGGGTCTCTCTGCTTATGGCCAAGCTAGTTGCAGTCTTGCAGAAAGCACAAGAGATTTGGGTTTCAATATTACCCTAAATAGCCATGTCTGTACCTAATGTGATTTTATCACCTTATTAAGTGATTAATTTGCAAGCAAACTATTTTCTATTGCCAATATTTGAAGGGACCGATAGAAAAATTTCCATGATTGAAATTCTCCTTTGCTCAAAGTAAAATTTTTATAATTTGACAGGTTGTATGAGTGTACAAAGAATTGTGGCCGATCTTATTCCTCGATATGCATGTCACTGTCCAACAGCTTTGGAAGCTGCAGCTAAAGTGGTTATTAATATGCATAACTGGAGTTTGGCATTGATCAGTAGAGGAGAGGACACCGGTGGTATTGCATTTGAAACTGCTAGAGCATGTATTTTTGGCCTAGCTGATGTTTGCTGTACTGCTTCTTCAGTAGCACCAACATCAGCTGTAATTAGAGGAATTTGCTCAGCAGTTTTTCAGAATGTGCTCACATTTTTTATGGCCTTATTTGAGGGAAAGGATGTCCTACAGATGGTTGACAAGAATTTCCTGAATATGCAGGATACCCCTGAGGTCTTTTCTGAGTTGAAACAAAAGGTTTTAGATGAAGATGAATCTTCATTGACTAAACTGTCCAAGTTCCGTGCATTATGTCTTCTTCGGATATTCTTCTCTTGTCCAAAAGATTTGCTCACAGCTTGTTTGGAGCTCTTAGGCTCTGCCACAAAAGAGGGAGTTTCTGAAGAAGGACTGCGTTTACTGGGCCTGGTGACTAGCTCTTTGGATGATGATGAAGCAGTTCACCTTTTGGATAGAGAAAATGGTAAATCTAAATCATGTACAGGTTCTACTGGTTCAGGTATCAGAGGCAATGAAGTAGCTGAGGAAATTATGACCGAGGACAACCTTGTTTCTGATGGTGATTCTTCTCTTCGAAAGAGCTGCTTGCTCATGCTGGTAATACATTGGAGTTGTTATCTTCTTGTGTGGATACCCTTTATTGGTAGTATGTATTTTATATTTTTGTTATGCAAGCTGTCTGTTCCAAGTAATTGCATGGTCTTTGTGTCTATTGTGAACTTTATTGTTGATCTATGTTGAAAATTATTTTTGCAGCTGGAAAGACTATGCTTTTTTTAATGCACTGTCTCCCTTGAATGAATTGCACCTATATCATTGCCTATAGTTAAAACTGTTAATAGATCAGTCTTAAAATAGTTGTGCATGTATTGTAGAAGTGTAGTTGACTTGAGGGCTTGTCTTCTTGTTAAATGAACGAATCTTCAACTAAAGGAAGTTTTTATTTTCCTTTTATAATATGACTGTTGTATCGAGGAAACCCAAGGTGGCTAACACCTTATGTCATAAACTTTCCTCTATAGTAGAAAACATTTATACTTCTCGTTGTGCTGGAGCTCTACATTTTAGTATGCCATTAATTATTGTCTCTTTTATCCTTCGCTTTCACTTGTATAGTTAGAATTACTCATCTAAATAATTGTAATCCGAAATAATAGTAATAAGTAATAACCTATCAAAATCTAAAAATTTGAAGTTCCATAGATAAATTGTGCATGTGGTTTACATGTCAGTTTCAATAATTTGTAGAGGTGATTTTTTAGGTTGAGTATCTTATTTGTTGCTCGTATAGTTTCAGTCCAAATGCAATTTATTAGTGATAATGCTTTTGTATTGTATATTGTTCTGTTTTCTGTACTGTATTAGGATTTTTATCTATTCGAGTGTATTGTGTCTGTTGGTATAGTTGTAAGGATCTGTTAGTTGTGATTCAGTTAGATTTAGTCATAGATATCAATTACGGCACAAAAGCGGGCAATTCCACTATAGTAGCGGATTGTGGAGCTCCACCACGCGAAACCGCACTGCAACGCGACAAGTAGGAGATGCAGTCGTTGCGTCTGCAATTGCAGCAAAAACACAACGCAATTGCGCCACAACAGTAAAGCAATAGAAAATTTCAAATTTACCCCCATTTTAATTTTGTAACAGTTATTTTTTGGGGGCTTTTTTGTCTTTTTAATGGGTTTTATGAAACCCCGCCTCTTCTCTCTCATTCTCTTGACTCAGAGTTCAAAACTCAACTCACGTCGCGCATTCTTCTCTGCAATTTTTTTTTTCTTTCTGGTCTGTCACTCTCACGTTTTGACTTGTCTCTCTTGCTTCTCTCTTTCTTGGGTCTCTCTCTCTCTCTCGCATAACAAAGTTATGGAGGTACTCCTCTCTCTTCTCTCTCTCTCTCTCTCTCTCTCTCTCATCTCTGTTTTTTTTTTTTTTTTTGGTTTCAACTTTCAAATATCAAGGTATTCAATAGCGCCGCGACCCGCGCCGTTCGGGTGTAGCGGTGCCTCACTGCTAAGAACCGCGCTGCGCCATGAAGGAACGCAATAGCGGCCATTGCTGCCGCATTTGCTGTGAAATCACGGAAATGGTTGTGGATATGGGCGAAATACAAAATTGCCCTTATTTTAAGGCTGTTACAGAAATATTTTAAGGGTGTTATCGTCTTTTTGGGGTTTAATACTCCCTCTCTCCCTCTATACGGAAGAAAACAACTCAGCCTCTCGCACGTGTCTGCTCTTCTTCACTCACAGAAACAAAACATCTCCCTCTGCCTTGCTATCTCTCTCTCTCATGCCTGTGCACTTACAGGTATTTTTTTTGGCCTCTTTTTTTTTTCTGGCATCTTTTTTTTTTCTTGCCTTTTTTTCTGGGTTCTGTTTGTTCTTTAATTTTTCTTTTCTGGGTTTTGTTTGGTCTTTGTTTATTGCCTCTTTTTTTTTTATGGCTTCTATCGTAGTTTTTTATTTTTTTTCCTGGGTTCTATTTTTTTTGTTGCCTCTTTTTTTTTGTATAAGTTTTTTTTTCTGGGATTTTTTTTCTTGCCGAAGTTTTTTTTTCTGGGTTTTGGTTGTTCTTTCTTGCCTCTTTTTTTTCTGGGATTTTGGTTTTGGAACAATTCTTTATTATGAATGAATGTCTTTATTTTTTAGTATATATATGTGTGATATATCTAGGTTCTATTGATCCATTTGGCTATTTCCGCAACTGCAACCGCAACCTGCTATAGCGCATTTCAAGGTTGGCGGCGACAGGCCGCAATCCGCATTTGATAACTTTTTCAAATACTAACTACTAAGTCAAATACCCATTATGTTTGTCACTTTGTCATAAAAAAATGTGCCCTTCTCTGCTTCTCTCTTGTTCGTCTCTTTGGTAGCAAGTAAGCTCTGCCTTTTTGTTTAAAAAAAGGCTTTGTTGTTTATCTTTGTATTTTTTATTTTTATTTTCCTTTTAAGCTCTCTTCGTCTCTCTCAGATTTTGTCTTTGTATTTTTTTTTGGGTGTCATTGTTTTTTTTAATAATTTGTTGTGTTACTTGTATTGAAGAATTGTTTAATAATTTTTTTTGGCTGTTATTTCTTGAGATGTTTTGGATTAGTTCTATTTTGGAATATTGACAATATTTAGATCCTTTTAGTTGACTATTTGGAAATCTTGTTTGTTTTGGAACAACTCTTCATTATGTATGAATGTCTTTATTTTTTATCATATATATGTGTGGTATATCTAGGTTCTATTGATTTATTACGCTATTTCCGCAATTGCAACCTGCTATAGCATTTTTTAGGGTTGGCCGTTACAGGCCGTGATCCGCATTTGATAACTTTGAATTTAGTTGTTGATAGTTAAGGAGTGTTGTAAGTCTCTTAGAAGTCAGTCCAGGCGTCACATCAATTTAATAGATCCATAACTTAGGAAGCTTCCTGTAACTCTATAAATAGCTCTTTCAAGCTTTAGAGAGATCAGATGCTAATATACTGAAACCTTATGAAATTCCGTAATTCCTTGTTTTGTTTAAAGGAAAATATGACTTGTTATATAGCATTTAATTGTAAAGCCATGATATGATGCATTTTTTGTTGAACTTTATGAGGCAAAATTTGAGCTTTTTGCTTCTATGGTTGATATATTGTTGGAAATTTCTAGCATATTCATTGTTAGTGACATTGAAGAACATTTTGTTAAAAACTTGGTGGTTTTGCGTAATTTGCTGAGTTTTGTTTAATTAAGAGTTTCAGTTCTAATAGTTTCTTACTGAGGACACCTTTTCATGGCCTTTCTCTATATAGGTTCTTAACAAGGACCCCTCACTGCGGAAATGGATGTTGTATAGATGTAAGAAGTTACTTGACCATCTTACTAATGCTTCACTGGAAACTACATCAGTACTGCAAGGAATACTAGGAAGGTTTGCTCAACAAACAGATTTGGAAGATTGTCAAGTAGATAGTGATGAAGATAAGTCTGATTCTTCAATTTACATGAATCGGAACTATGTGGTTCCTAGGATCTCTGAGGAACATGAAAACATTGGTGAATCATCTGGAAAAGGTAACAATTTAAGAGTTCATATTTGCTCTTCCAATGATGGTTTTACTGATAGAGTTTCTGATAAATATCTGATAGCTCATAACTCTGCAGTTTCTCTTGACACAGTTCCTGTATTAAAAGTTGGCTCGCATTTTGATAATGGAGTCTCAAGGCCCATGGGCATTCAGATGGGGGAGGAAGGGAATATGCCCCATGTTAGATGTTCCACCCCTAGGGACTCTGTATGCCATCAGATATTTTCACCTGCAGTTAGAACACCAGTAGACTTTAGGAGTAATTCATTTGAAGGAAGAAATGATTTCCCTAATGTTGAGAAAAATCAAGTTTCAAATATGAATTTTAATTCACCACTGCTGAGGTCTTCTAGTGGAGCTGTTAGTAATATTGTGGCATCTCCTAATCATCATTTTATGTCACCAACTGCTTCAACAAAAAGTCAATTTGTCTGGTGCTGTGATGGGGATCCTGCAGCCATGGATATTGTCTCTGCTTCTAAGCAGCTATGTATTGGTTACGTAGGGCCTGATATGCCTGAAAGCCATATTAGGTTTCAATTAGATAGGTTTGGTCCTATTGAACAATTTATTTTCTTCTCAGTGAAAGGATTTGCCTTGGTTGAATACAGAAGGATCATTGATGCAATAAAAGCTCGACACTATTTACCTGGAAGTTTTCCTTGCCGTGTAAAATTCATGGATTTAGGATTTGGAACTAGGGGTGCAATAAATGGTGTTGCAGTTGGCTTTAGTTCTCATATCTATGTTGGAAATATTTCCAGTCAATGGGCCAAAGATGAGATCTTGCATGAATCAAGGAAAATAATCCGTAAGGGTCCTCTCTCAGTAATTGATCTTAGCTGTGAGTGTGCATTACTTATGGAGTTTGAAACTCCTGAAGAAGCTGCCTCTGTCATTTTGCATCTGAGACATCTCCGAAGAGAAAGAAGTAACAATAGCCCACATTTTGGTCCTGGAACAGTTAATGTTGGAATTGGACATGCTTATATGGATGGTGCAAGACCTGTGCCCGCCCCTCCCCATCTTGACCTTAAAGTCAACATTCCTGCTGGATCACCTCATGCTCGAACCTTACCTGCGAGCCCTGCTGACAGCAGTCGAATAAGGATGTCTCACTTGTGTTCCTTACTTGCGTCATTGCGTACAAAGTATAATCTTAATCAAAACACAGGTCTCCATGACAACTATATGACTGGAAATAGTTGTGCCTCTTCCATGCGTGAAGAAGATACAGTGCCCTCCAGCTCTCTGTGGATAACTATTCCAAGTAGTATATTCCTCACAGATGATGAGCTAATGACCATTTGCAACCTTGCTATTGGAAACTCTGGCTCCATTGTGCGGTTGACACAAGCAAACATGCAGATGGGACATTGTTGGTTTGTTGAATGCAGTAATGTTGATGGTGCAGTTTCTGTTCTGAAGAATCTTCGTGATTGTCCAGGATTGTTCTTCCGGATAGAATTCAGGTTATACAAGATTAATTTTTTTAACGTACACACACATACAAAATTTATATTTGATGATTCAAGTGTATGTTTTAGATGCATATTGTCCACACTTCAATACCAAAAGGCTCTTACATGAAGGGATGCTTTAGATATATAAAAACCAATCTTGAACCTTCGTTTAACAGTATATGCTATTAGGAGAGTTGGTCCTTCACTACAAGTAGAAAATACAATCCAATGGTTAATTATGTAATATATGCATTCCAAAAATGTCTCTGATAATGTAAATTAATTTTGTTTTTCACCATTGTCAAATGATCTTGAACTCTGTTTGCATGTGTGGCTAAGGGTTGTTATTTCTTCCAACAGCTTTTAGATTGTCTTATAATAAGGACCTCAGGATAATTTAAGTGTTTACTAGTTTACATGGTTATTGCAGCAAACCTGGAAATCAGCCTGCTGTACCATTTTCAATTAAACCCGAAAACAATTCCATGGAGCTTGTATCCCTCAGAATGAATTCCGAGAATCGTAGTAGTGGAATACATGGTGCACCTCTGTCTCAGTCAAACTGGTGCTTTCCTGGTTCCAGAGAGATATCAGAAGTTGGAGCAAGGAAACATGATGGTTATGATAATTTATCACTCGATCCTCATCAAGGAGGTAATATTCTATTTATGATTTAGGCAAAAAATTTGTCTATGCTTTCTTTTTTGCTTTTGCATGTCTGTGAGTGAATCATTTTTTTTATTGAATTATAGATTGAATGATTAAGTTAGGTGCAATTACTGTTTTCTGGTGCACTGAACAATTGTGTCTATTTCTGAAATTGAGTCCATTCTGCTGCAGGTAATGTTCCACATTTACTCTCTGGAACACATGGACCTTCCATTCCACCACCACAACAAATTCAGTCATCTCCTTTCATCCGCCCAGTTTATGCTCCTCCAAATGGTCCTTGGGATCCACGGGGAATAAATAATCATTTACCTGTCAACCAATTCAATACAGGAGGAATGCCAAATAATTTTCATGGTAGTGCTGTTGTAAGTCCTTTTATACCTGCCTCAGTGACTCCGCTTGCTCAGATACAGGGAACTCAAATGCAGCCATATAACCAGATGATTCCTCCATCAGTTATATCACCGCCTTTATCATCTTTGCCACCTACTCAGCCTGAAATGCCACCTCCGCCTCCTCCTTCTCCACCACCTTTACCCTTGACACAGCCACCCCTGGTTCCTCCACCGCCTGGTTCTCCTCCTCCACCTCCTCCCCCACCACTGCTTGTCCAAGAATCAGTAAATATGGAATGTTCAGGGCAGTCTCTACAGTATCAATGGCAGGGAAATCTCTGTAAAAGCGGAGTTAACTACTGTACAATTTATGCATGCAGAGCAGATTCAAATATTTGCAGATATTCAAACGCCATACCTGAGCCTGCTGAGTAAGACAGCATCTGTTGCTTCCTTACTGGTCAAAACAATTTTCTTCAAATAGATGCCAGTTTAAATTTCTGTTTCTCTGGTGCAGATGGCCCACAAAATTAGACATGACTAAACGCACAGATTTTCGACATGTGAAATCAACATTTGCTGTTACTCCACCTCATAGAGTGAGTTTTGAAATATCCTTTGGCTGCTCCCCCCTCTCCCCAACTATCTCATGCTCACTGTTCCATGAAATGTGTCTCTCTAATTTTTTAATTGATCCTTTATCTCAGGCTATTACATTAGATAAGCATTCTCAAAGTATATTCTTATTTCCTAGGTTTATATGGACCGGGTATTATAGCATGCACAAACATAATCAGCATGCTTTGGTCCCCATTTATGCTTCCATGTAATTTCTCATTTGCATGTCAATTCTTTCTCCTTTGTACATGCCTGGCTGCATATCTATAATTTGTGTAAGAGCTCATTTTTAGTTTGTGTAAAGATGGGTAAATTCAATCCATGAAGAAGTATAAGATTAGAACTAGATTGAATTATCTTGTGTTATAACCAAACAGTTTGAAGAGTTGTGGCTTTTGAGTTGCACTACTATAAATGCTCTCTCAGGCAGGTATCATATGTGCTCTCTTGGGCTGCATGTCTATAATCTGTTTGTATAAGAGCTTATTTGTAGTTTGTGTAAAGATGGGTAAATTCAATGCATGAAGAAAAAGATTAGTACTAGATTGTCTTGCGTTTAACTTATAACCAAATAGCTTGAAGAATTTTGGCTTTTGAGCTGCACTACTATAAATGCTCTCTCAGGCAGGCATCATATATGCAAACCATAAAATGGTTAAAATAAATAATGCTGTATGACAGGATATATTAAGGGCAAATCCCGGTGCACAAAGACACCCCGACTTTGCAAAGGTCGAAAGTACATAATCTTACTCTTGCATTTTTATAAAGATGCTATTTCGTAGACTCGAACGTGTGACCTCTGGCTACAAAGGAGCAACTTTACCATTGCTTCAAGCTCACCCTCTCTATGACATGATATAATTATGATTATTATATTAATTTATGATGTAAGTTAAGGATTTAGGGGTTATTATCAGTAATTTAGGATTTTATTAATTCAGTTGTTTGGGTCTTAGGATATCCTTTTCCTAGTTGGATTAGCTATCCTAGTTTGTTTTTACTTTAGCCTTAAGTCTGTGTTGCTTGCCTTAGTAGATTTATTGTTGTTTGAGTCACCTACATAAGGCATGCTATTTGTCGTAGGCTATGTTTGGATGGATGGAGTGCTGTGGTTAGTAGTAGAGTAGAATGGCATATGGAGCCCAACCCATAGTTGGATGTCTTTTTAGTAATGGAGTGGAATGGTACTACGGGCATATAAATGTTAAAATAAATCATTAAAGATATATTCATCATTAATAATCAAAAAATAGTCTAGACATACAATCCCCATCAATCTAAAGCATAATTAACAAGGCAATAACAGCAAAAGGAGAGGGGGGAGGGTGAGTTAGAGAAAAGAGGATGATGGAATTAATAGGAAAAAAACTGAACAATAAGATGAACTCATGCGAAGTACACAACACAGCAAAAAAATAAAATTAAATAATGTACCAGAGACGTGCATGAATCATATTCATACCTATGACAGAGGAGGGAGTGGAGAATAAGTCTTGTGGATCCAAATCAACAGAAAGCATGCGTAAATCAGCAGAGGGCAAACAGCAATCGATGCGTTGCTGGAAAATGCCAGTGAGCAGAAGGTCAAACAGGTGGACTTGCTGGAAAACTGCTAGGTTGCTGGAAAATCGCCAGAAAACAAGTGTGATGGTGGAAGTAGGAAGGTTTTTTTTGACGGAAGTTGAAACAGAGGTGGGGCAGTAGGTTTTCATCGAAGGGACACGACTATCTGAGGGGCAAAGTGGGACACAACATAGCCTTAGGGATCTTATTGAATATTGAGAGTTCAGTACCTGTCTTAGAGAGGGCATAAGTAAATGCATGCAAGAGAATTGCAACATCGAAGTCCTCTTAAGTTTAATGGGTCAAAGACCAGATATGCTTGATCCACCTTAGCAAATGTCTCTTTTCATTTATTATCTCCCTAGGCTGGGTTGTCTTATTTTCCACTCTCTCTCTTAAGAGTAGTTTGTTTTTTCCTTAGTAAGATAATAACAAAAATTCGTCCTGGAAGGTTTATATTTTTGTTTTGCTAGAAATGACTATGATAGTCTTCCTTTCTTTTTCCTTTTCTGGTTATAAAATGTATTAGTTGTCTGCATAGCCCTTCCATTCCCTGAATATGGCTAATTGGTATTGACTTATGATGCAGAGGGAAGTGTGCCGTTTGATCCCATCTTCCACAAGTGACCACAGAAGGGTATGTGTTCTTTACTTTTCATCATATATTGCTAATTTCATGTTGGTATTGTCTTTCTCAGAACTGTTCACTAATCTTATTGTGGATTTAATTTACCCATTCAGTATGTTGTTACTGAGACTTCCAGGAGCAACTAAATTATCTCACAAGTTCTAGTCTATCTTCTAGAGATTCCGTTGAGATATGTTTGCATATGTTTTTTGCTGAAGACTGTTCTATACAAGGAATGAGCGACCAATTTTTAACCTCTGGCTGAAATATACTTCATATTATCCTTATTTACTATTAAATAATCCATCCCCTCTCATGGTGCTTTCTATTTTTTTATTTTTTTTTAACTTCCTCTCAACATTATTAATCATTCAGATGTTACTATTATGAACACATGCGCATAATACATTTAGGAGAGTTGTTTGTGTTTAGTTCTGTAGCACAGTCCCATTCCTCTTGTTGACCCTGTGTCTGTCAACCAGTTTCAGGATTTCATATCATACTTAAAGCAGAGGGATTGTGCTGGAGTTATTAAAATCCCAGCTGCAAAATCCATATGGGCAAGGCTGCTATTTATACTCCCCCACTCACTTGAAACATGCTCTTTGCTTTCCATTGCACCTGATCCATCAGATTGCCTCATTGCTTTGGTTCTGCCCAAGGAAACAAACTTTGAGTGGATATGACGGTTGTGCTTTTCAATAGGTAAAATCATAGAGCAAAGCAATGTTCGTAGCCAAAGTGCAACGTCTAAAAAAAAAATTCGTAAGAAAAAAGCCTACTTCTACTGGAGCACATGTAAAAAAAATTTTGCTATTTGTTTGACATGTAGGTTTCTTTCTGGGGAGAAGCAAAAACGTGAAATTTTGGGTTTGTCTATTACTGGGTAAGTATGTGTTGTTGATGTAGATCCAATGATGCTGATGTGACCCATTTTGGTTTACAATGTGCAGAATTCGTTTCTTAGAAGTCATTTTCACCAGTTTTAAGGAATAATCTGTTACTTTTAGTCTTAGTTTATTTATTTATTGTTTTAAAGTTGTTTAATGTTCTTATATAAACTATTCTTAAGGATTATAGGATGTTATAGCAAGCAATTTAATGCTATGTTCGCTCCTTCATTTAAACCATTTTGTCCAAGGATCTAACAGAACTTAGATAACCCTATACACATTGTCTCAAAGCACTCTTATTTCACGAGAAAAGGAGAGGAGAGGGATGGGGGAATAAAACGAGCTGGAATTATCTCTCTCTCTCTCTCTCTCTCTCTCTCTCTCTCTATATATATATATATATATATATATATATATATATATATATATATATGGGTTAGGATCATTTTATACTCTCAATCTTGACCATTGATCCCACTTGTATCTAAAGGTTCTAATTTTTTAGTAATGTGAGCCATTGGATACAAGTGAATCAATGGTCAAGATTGAGTGTAAGACTTCAACTCTTATACCGATGTAAGAATATCTTGTCCATATATATATATATATATATATATGGATTGACAAACTGGGATACACTAGGGGTGTTCATTAGCCAATTCAAATTGCGGTGATCGATCTGAAAAACTGATAATTGAAAATTGAAAAATCGAAAACAAAAAAAAAATTGCAAATTTTAATTGGATTGAATCGGTTTTCGGATTTATTGATGAAAATTGATCCAATATATTAATTTTTCTCTGCTTACTTAGTAGGGGTGTTCGCTGTTTGGATTGGATCGGTTTTGGAAGCAAAAATTATATGATCCAATCCCTTCGGTTTGATCATATAATCATCCATTCGAATTTTTTTTTCAAATCTGATCCGATCCAATCCAATTTTTTTCGGTTTGGATTGGATTGATTTCTGATTTTTTGAAAATTCTAAAATTTATTTTATGATTATTATGCAAATTACATCTTTTTGGCTTTGTAAATTATTATTTTTTAAAATACAAAAGTATTACTAAACTTAATATAAATTTTTTTTGGCAATGAGATATGAAGCTCTACAAAGATAAAATTGTGTTGATGAGATGTGATTAGATTTTTTTTTGGATTTAGTTGATACCCAATGGGTCTTGGGTTTAAAATTTTTTGGGCTATGATCGGGAAAAAGATCCAAGGAGATAGAGGAGAATTAATATATTGGATCGGTTTAGATTGGATAGGTTTTCATCAACCCATCCAAAAATCGATCCAATCCAATTAAAATTTGCGATTTTTATTCGGTTTTCGATTTATTTGGTTATCGGTTTTTCGATTCGGTCTCGATTTGGATCGGTTGATGAACACTCCTATTACTTAGGTATTTTCCCAATCATAGCCTAGAAATTTTAAAACCCAAGACCCATTAACCCCATCAATTAAATCCAAGAAAAAACATAGTCATATCTCATCAACAAATTTTCATTTGTGTAGAGCTTCATATCTCATTGCAAAAAAAAAAAACTATATTATCGTTTAATGATGCTTTTGTATTTCAAAAAAAAAAATTATAAAGCTAATATACACAAAAGATATTATTTGCACAATAATCATGAAACAAATTTTAGGATTTTCAAAAAATCAAAAATCGATTCAATTCAAACCCAAACAAATTGGATTGGATCGGATTAGATTTTAAAAAAAAAACAAACCGAATGGATGATTACATGATTAAACCGAAGGGATTGGATCGGATGATTTTTGCTTCCAAAACCGATTCAATCCAGACTGTGAACACCGTTAAGATACACTGTAAAGGTTATCTTTGTTCCTCCCCTCGGGGAACTTTGTTAGTAGCTTTGAGCTTCCTGTAGGTACCGAACTTACATGACTTCGATTTCATCTTACGTTTCCCTCATCACAATCAACATTGCCAAAATCAAATTAACCCTTATAAAATAACATTTTGATTCAACAATTATAAAAGTAGTTGTAAGAGGTTATAAGATAAAAAGGTTGTAATTGTAATCTCTCCATCACTTTATTAGTAATTAAGACAAGCATTATATAATTAGACGAGGAGTGTTGGGTTGGACCTTAAACATGTGCCATTCCTGCCCCTGGAATAGCGAGCGTAGCTCGTGTGCTGTGGATACTGACGGGTCGTGGTGAAGCAAATCAGAAACTGTGAACATACAGGAATTTTTTAACGTGGTCCAGAATCACCATGATTCTTTCACTAAAAAAAATTGACACTTGGATTAATTTTTTTTTCTTTTTTCTCTCTCCTCTCCTCAATTTTTTTTTTTCTTTCTCTTATCACAGTCTCACCGAATGATTTCTGCTCCCGGAGCACAGAAACTTTGCTCCAACATACGGCATTAAATAGTCACCTAAATTTTACAAATTCATTATAGGCAACGTGTCATTAAAAATAATACATTCATTCTATAAGTATTGAAATATATATGAATACTGTAACACAAGTTTAACTATTTAAATGATAAGTTTGATAATCTAATAATTAGTATGTAAAAGTATAATATCATTTTCAAAGTTTGTGAGAAAATTGATTGCATTTTATAAGATTTTACAGTGCTAAAAAGAAAAAATCATAAATAGTAGGAAACAATCTAACAATATATATTAATAAAATTATTAGAGCTGTCAAAACGGGCCAGCCTGACCCGTTAGACCCTAGTCCGCGCGGACCAAGGCCAAAAAACTCACAAGGCAAAAAAGCAATACAAAACTCAAATTAATACGAATCTGGAAATCATTCAAATTAATACGCTTTGAAAAAAAAATCACTAAAACAATAGAGACTTGTGCATGAAAATACTAAAACCAAAACTTTCAATTTCAAACATTCAAGAAAACAAATAACAATTTAGAAAACAGAAATATTTAAACTACATACAAATAATTAATATGATATTATAACTGTTTAAATTATTTTTTTATTATAGTTTTAAAGCTTACAATTTAATACGATTCAAAATTTACAATAAAATTCAGCAGAACAATTCACATATTATGTGTTGCTATTCAACAACTTTGATTATAATTCATATAAGCCACATGTGATTGTCCAGAAACAAAGAAAATTGCATTACAGGTTGCCGCCAAAGTTTCAGTATAATGACTCTAGCCCAATCCTTCCCTTTCCTTCACACGCAACCATTGTACCAAATAGAAAAGGTTTTAAAAAAAAACACATATGGTTTGCATTCAGCTAGAATCTGAGATTACCAAAAAAGAAAAAGAAAAAGAGAAGCATAGGAAAATTAAAAGCTGCAGCCGCAGCAAAGGTAAAAAAAAGAGAGCATGAGGACTAACGCAATGGTCTCAAACATGGACATTATCTTAAAAATCACATAGTCTATAAAGGAAAGGGGCCAATAAAGCCTCTTCCACTTGAATGCAGACCACAAAAGCTTCCACCTCCATGATTCCTTTCTCAGCCCCTTGAAGAACCGTCTCTTCTTCCCCTCCAAGTCCCTGCAGCCTCTCTCTCTTCAATCTATGTGGGTCTTTTCCCTCTTTACTTTCTGGGCTTTCCACATAAAGATGGGTTCATTTATAGGAGAAAAGAAATGTTGAAAAACATGAAGAATCATGATCTTCTTACAATTGCTTTCTAATTCTGTTGACTGTTAGAAGATGCCTTAGAGACTAAAGAGCGAATAATACGTTAAATTGAGAGAATTGCAATGCCAAGGACTGAGTAATGTTTATGGGCAACTAGCATTTCAGGTGTGGAATCTACCGAAAGCTCAAGCCTACAACTTTAGCTCTTGGGTTTAATTATTCCATTTACAAAATGTCTAGGATGCCTTTACTAGAAAGAAAAAAAAAAGTCTAGAAGTGATTGATTACCTAATAAAACATGATACATTTTTTTTTCTTTACTTTTTTTATGTAATAAGAGAAAAATTATTTTATATTACGGGATAAATAAAATGAAGCCCATCAATTTTTTTTTTTTAAAAAAATAAAAGCATATCTTTTTATTTAAGTGTAATATGATAATATAATTTTTTTTTAATAAATCACAATTTTATTCGAGCCAACAATTTCTATGCCGTGGTAAGGCTACTTACGGAGATTTTTTGCATTTTGAGATACTATAGTAGTATTTGTTTTTAATATTTTGTGTTATATTAGATGAAATTTTGTATACACCTCGTTAAATAAAGGGTAATATTTTTCTCAAGTTGCATAAGAGAGAAATAAAAGTCGATTTCCGCTGAATGGATTCTTGGGGAGGGGGCTGAACCTTTAGCCATCACTGTTCTCCCGCACTCCGGATTAGTCTCATAGCCAGCTCAAAGAGTCGAAGCTCGTGGGGATACCGGAGGGAGCCAACTCGTCTCAAAGAGATAATTAGGGTTGGGTAACTCCAAAAAAAAGAAAAAATAAAAGAAAAATATTTTTCTACACTTACATAATCACATTACTATTTTATTTTTTTCTCTTTTTCTTAGTGGGCCCTCCAATTATACGTGAGTGTAAGAAAATTGAGAGAAATATTAGAATAAATAGCTTGATTCTACTCTCACCCAATAAGAAATGAGAAAAATTAGTTGTCTAGCTTGATTCTCCCCCACAAGAATTTTTTATTTTTTGTGTAGACAAAATAGTGGGGATGCGGGAGTGGTGAGGACAACAGTGACTCGCGATACATCGTTCAGATGTAGGCAAGCACTACCTGCGAACCCCTCCCAAGGTTAATCGTGGATTGCTACACGTGTAAGGCGTCGATGTTTCTTTGTTTACCACACGGGGGAAACACCGGATAAAGACCCCAACATTGAGATTGCCCTCAATAATGAGGGGGGTTTAGGGTTTAGTAAGCCACGTAAGCAATCCTGACCACATCCCCGGAAGTTGACTTAAAACTTTAAGGTGTGTATATAAATAACTAAAATCAGTGAGTCATTTTCTGATGTGGGGCTCGTAAAATTCATCAGGCTAGGCAACTGTTTGCCAATTAATACTAAAAAAGTAAGTTTGTTATAGCCATTGGTGGAATACAAGAGCAAGTAAGGATAAAAATAATAATTTTCTTTTATATAATTTTAATGTTTGAGCAATTTTCGGCGGCATCTTGAATAGCCAAACCTTGATCATTATCCATTTATTTTGACACCCAAAGTCTTGTATTAATGTCCTATTATATTTGATATGCTTGTTCAAGGAGGGGCTCACGGCCCCTTTAAATATGTAATTAATGGCCGTAGTTTATAGAAGTCTTCAGTTGTGAGCACTATTATCGTATAAATGATTACATTTCAAGAAAAAAATGTACATTGTAATTTCGCCCCTTAGAAAATTTTCTAGCTCTGCGCCACCAATTCTAAGTGTTTTGTTATTTCTTTTACATTTGTAGTGGCTAGTGGCTACTGACACTCCCTTCCCGAGTTTCTGGATAGCTTCCTACAATTTGGGAGCAGATGGTATGATTTTTCTTCATGGGGGGCCCTATGGAATTGTTACTGGGGTTATTGTTGGACTCTGGTTTCTGCTATCTTTTCTTTGATCTTCAATAATCTTTACTGTCAACAATTTATATATCATGAAGTTCTTCCAATAAAGACCCTGGTGCCGATGCTGCTGATAGCATCACTTTGAGAGACTGTGGAGGTGGGTTCTCCCCTCATCATTGCAGTTTTGTGGACTAAGGAATTCATTTAGCATACAATGCATGATTTTCATTTGGCTGACCTCTACATTCTGTTTTGAGAATTTGCTGCAATTTATTTTTCATTACTTGCAAATATTGCTCAGAACTGATTCTTTTTATTCTTGTTAAATTTTGGACCCTCACAATAGGAGGCTTCCTAACACAGTTGTTGGCACAATCCACTAAACACAGACATTAAATGAGTGTAGCTCCAGAAAACTTGGAATATACAGAAGCAAATCAATAGATTAATAGTATTTTCACATTCTCTCTTATACAACCCCATTTCACCAATAGATAATACCTACTGCATATACTTTAAGGCAATTTAAAAGTAGAATATTTCTGTGGCAAATGGAATTCCAGGGAAATGTTTATTGACTCCCCTGGTTTCTTAAAAACTTGTAGTGCTTTTCTCACTTACATTGCAAAATTTTGAGCTTAGGTTTATCTAGTTTGAGTTTTAAGCAGCATAAGATTAATGCCATTTGTTCTGGTGATATAGGTAATAGACTTTATAAATGATGCAATCGTATCAATGGATGCTTTTGTTAATGCATGCAAACCAGCAGCTATATTCTTTTCTTGCCCAGTTGAAATGAGGTATCTTTTAAAATTTGAGTTTTTGTTTTTTTTCTTCTTTTTTATGATGTCTAAGGCTTAATGTAATAGTTTTCCATACTAAGAATCTGTTGTTACAATAACCTCGATGATTTTCGTTTGATGTCTCGGCTTTGAATAAGTCATCACATGCAGGGGATGTGGATCTCTTATAGTATCTATGTCAGTTATGCTCATATTTTAAATTATGCTTAATATTGCTGTCTATTACCTATTGATGGCGAGACAATTTCAAAGCGACTTGTCTAACATTATATTTGGTCTATCATGTATTCAAGGCTTATGTTGATTTCTTTCATCCTAGCAGAATTTATGACGAGGATTGTTGTTTCATACTAGGCAATGGGACCCAAAATTTTTTATTTATGTCTGCATATTTAATGGCGGGAGTTCGGGGGCAGCACTCTGAAAATTTTTTTTAAAGGAAGTTTATATTTGCACTTGCACAACAGTAGGTCTTCCACTTTTGATATATCATAAAACATCAACAAAGAAAAAAAAAACACAAGAAAAAGTCAAGAGAAAGCCATTGCCACGATGCTTCGACACGTGATCTCAGGTTCAACACGATATTGTCCTGTGCTAACCATGCCATATTGAGGACTTCAAAAAAATAGGTCCGCCGGTATACCAAAGGTTCCCATGTGATTTTCTAATTTTTTGAAGTTCACCAGTGTACAAGACGTAAACAAAACTTTGCATTTTTTTTTCAAAAAAAGTACAGACGCTGCCCATAAGTAGGTCCGCCGTTGGTTCTAGGAAGATAGATGTCCAGCCAACATCGCTGATATATTTTTATTGGATGTATGTGTTCTCGCTCAGGTATTTATAGGAGAGATACTTTTGAGATCAACAGGTCACAGTACACTATAATAATAACTGCATAGCCAAAGAGTGGCGTGTGTGCACAGTAACAGTTAATAGAGAGAGGGTATAGATGGATTACCTGACAGTAGTAGAATTCTGAGCCTCTTAGCAATAATAGGAGCTGGTTCTTGATCCATTACTGTAGAACAGAATATTCTCTTAGCTATTAGCTCTTCTTGGATCTTTTAAAATGTAGACTTTGTCAGGTCCATAACAATTGTAATGGAAAGTTTTCCTAATAAATACTGATGCTTTCTGGTTTGCACTTTGGGAGTTATGGGAATGAGGAACTGCTAAGCCTCCTTGCCAGATTGCACGATTCACTGATTCCTAGTTGCAAAAGTGACTATGCAATATTTTTGTTGACAGACAAGATGGAACAGCATATTGATTTCATCCTCCTCATCACGTGTAAAATATGTGAGGAAAATCTAAAGCTGACTTGCTTGATCTCAGTATTCTGGATAATAAGGATGACAAAGATACATAAAAAACTAATGCTCTAGTTTTACAATATGAATATCAAGATCAATATGATGACTCTTTTGATGATTTAAGGCCAAGTTTGATAGACTCTTGATTAGAGGAAAATGAAATGATGGGTGATGAAGTAAATGCGAAATTGTGAAAATCATGGGCTATGGAGATTGAAACTATGTCCAAAATGGAGCTCTAGGAAAAGCCGCAGTACTACATCAATGATGGTAATCATAATTTATTTTTTTTTGGTGGACAGTAATCATAATTTGATCTTAGCACAAACTGAATTTGGATTTGATAAAAAGAAACTAATATGTAAGTAAGATTTGATTTAGTTGTGAGTCTTTTGACTACTTCATAATGAATACTCTTTTGGGTTTTATGTTATACGTACCTTTTATATTAATCAATTATTTTTTACTTTCTACTTCTTTCGTCGTTCAAACTTACTTTTTTTTTGGTAAAAGACGGGGCATAGCCCCGAAATTAATTAATTATAATAACTCGGTGTCTAAAAACATCAGTTCATTAACAGATCAGCGATTGGCATTGGGTTCTCGTCTTTTGGTGGGGCAACATTGAGATTCCGGAAATGCATTCTTTCCCCCCCAGCCCTTGCTCTGGGCAAGTAACAGCAGCCTAATACCCAAAGGGGAATCGGGATAGCAAATAAAATTAACTACATCACGATGCTCAAGAGAATAGTTAGCTAACCAATCCACATAAGAATTACATTCTCTGAAAGCATGTTTGAAAATAACTCTCCAGACCTTATTGACCAATGCTCGTATGCGACATAAAAGACTTAACTCACGAGCTGCATCACCATCTTTGGTGAGCAAAGTGATGGCATTTGCCGAATCACTTTCTACAATTATATTTCTCCAACCTCCTTGCCAAGCTAGATCCAGGCCTTTAAAGATGCCCCAAAGTTCCGCAGTGAGAGGTGAGCAAGATCCAACATAAAATGAGAAACCATTTACCCAATTACCATATTCATCTCTGATTAAGCCACCACAAGCAGCCACCCCTGGATTACCTCGCGAAGCACCGTCAGTGTTCAACTTCACCCAACCCGTGTCCGGGGGATAGAGCATGATGCTGCTGCATATCTTCTCCAAATCTTTCCTAATATACTTCAGATTTGATTTGGATTTGTGGACGCTGATTTGTTGGAGATTTGATTAGGATTTCTTGACCATCTTTGAGTGATTATTCAGATCAGAATATCTGTTTGCGCGCTCAGAAGCTTCCCTCCCTTAAGTTGGGCTTGAGTCCATAGCTTGCTGGTGATGATGTCAACCACATCACTGCTGACATCATCTTCAATGCTACAACATTTTTTTCCGATGCTACAGCACTGACCTGCAATAAAAATAGCAAATGCAATAAATGGTTCTAACACTCAAATTATCTTCAAATATCTACAATTAACATATTTCTCATTCAAATCATGAAAATATATAATTCATGCATTAATCATATAAAACCAAGAGAATTATGCATATTCATGGCACCAAAACATTACAAATAAGCCTAAAAATAACTCTCCATCAGAGAGTTATCATAAGTGTTGTAAGTTTTTAACATATTTGATATTTTTTCCTTCTATTTTTTTCTTACTTTTAATCTTTTTTGTAAGTGTTGTAAATTTTTAACATATTTGATTTTATTTTTATTCTATTTTTTCTTTTTTGTTATCAATCTATTTTTTTTCTTGCCAGATTAATTAAGTTTATAACAATTTTAAGGATGAATTTAGATAAAAAAAAAAATCATAGGGGATAAGTGATTAAAAATAAATAAGGGAATACATAATTATAAGGAAATTTATAAATTTTTTCCTTTTAAAAATATGTATACACGTGTAACTTGATATATGGTACAATTAATACTTATATTTTAATAAAAAGTTTTAAATAATATTACTAATGTGATCTTAAACCCTAAACCCTAAGTATTAAAAAATATGCTTTTAAATAATATTAGTAACTCCTAAATTATTATTATTATTATTATTATATCAATTTTTGATACAAAATAATGTTTAATAATGCAAGAAATCACGTATGTAAAACTATATGGGAAAAAGTTTAAGAGTTTGGTACTATTCCATTTTCTTGTTCTCTCCGGGAAGATTATCAAGTCAAGTCAATGGTTCAGTGGTTTCTTTTTATAATAATGGTTTTTTTAAAATGGTTTTTAGTGTTGTAGTCACTTTCTGTGGGCAAATGATGCATAAAATAAAAAAGAAATCTGAGTCAATTCCTGCAACTTGTTTCTAGCTTTCAGATGATGAAACATCACGCCACAACCAAACCAAATCAAAACATAACATCTTTGTAAACTCCGATGAAGAACACCAAAAACCACAACATGACTTATTCCCTTTCCACTCCGAGATCGCCTCCAATGGATCCCAGAATTTGGAGCAAATTGCCACCTGAGATCCTCGAGTACATACTCTCTTTTCTTCCTCTTAAAACCTTCTTGAATCTGAGATCCACTTGCAAGGGTTTTTGGCCTCTCATATTCTCTCCTTCCTTCATTTCCAAACACTCTTCTTCTTCTTCTTCATCTTTCTCTTCCTTTCTTTTACTCTCACACCCACAATTTCACCGCCATTACCCTCTATATGATTGCACCCTTGCCACCTGGCGCAACATCTCTCTCTCATTCTCTGATTCACGTCACTCTTCACCACCCTTCAACACCCTTGTCTCCTCTGGTGGCCTCTTTTGCTTATCTGATTCCACATCATGTTCCTTGCTCGTGTGCAACCTTTTAGCCAAGTCCTCTAGAAAGATTGAATACCCAGGTCACTTTCTTCATCTCGAGCATCTTACTTTTGTTACTACCCCATCTGGGTATACCATATTCGTTCTCTGTTCTGAGTCAGCTTCAAACAATGCCTTCGTTTATGATTCAAATGTGCTTTCTTGGCGAAGATTTGAAGGTTTTGGTCCAATTCTCGGCGACAACCATCACCAACAAGGCGTTTTCTTCAATGGGGGTTTGTATTTTGCGACCCCAGAACCGTTTTCGGTTGTGTTCTTTGATTTGGAGAGTGGAAGATGGGAGAGACCAATTGGTGAGTTACCGAGTCAACTCACTTTTGTTCGATTGGTGAGTGATGGAGAGGGTAAATTGTATTTGGTTGGTGGGATTGGGAACAATGGAATCTCGAGGAGCATCAAGTTGTGGGAATTAGGTGAAGATGGGAATTGGGTTGAAGTGCAGAGTTTGCCTGATCTTATGTGTAGAAAATTTGTGTCCGTGTGTTACCATAACTATGAGCATGTTTATTGCTTTTGGCATGAAGGGATGATCTGTATTTGCTGCTATACGTGGCCAGAGATCTTGTATTACTTGGTTTCTAGGAGGACATGGCATTGGCTTCCCAGGTGCCCTTCTTTGCCTTTGAAATGTAGCTGTGGTTTTAAGTGGTTTTCTTATGTTCCACAGCTATATGCTTCAGTTTGATCGAGTTTCTCTTTATTATGTTTCTCCTATTTCGGTTGTTGTATGTAAGTGTTGGGATTGTACTAGGAGCTGATCCAGTTTCAGTTGTTTCCTGTATTTGATTTCTGTTTCTGCTAGATTTTGGAATTAAATTTTGTCCATGAACCTTGTCTATTTGTTACTTTATGACTTTATGGTACTGCATAGCATGCTAGAAGCTACCCTAACCAAGAAAATTTTGTAGGTCGGAACTTGATTAACAACTCCACCAAAATTAATGAAAATCCTACCTTATCGTTTCTTTCTTTTGCGTGTGTAATTTGCACTAACATGCTGCAAGTAACATACAATTAGAATGATTAATCTTCTTTTTTTAATACCTTGTTGCTGCATAATTAATTTATTATGGAGCGAGTCAGCCGTCCAGAACTTATGTTTTAAATTTATACCAATTAACCATCTAAACTTTTGCTTTGCAACTCAATCGTGTTTGAATTTTAAAAATAAATAAATAAATAGGGATCCATTGTTGAAGTCAATTGGAATCGTCTTTATCGATACTGACAGAGATATGGCTTGCGGGAACTACATACATGGAGTAGTTAGAGTCTACAACGTCATGACAACGTCGATTGAATGACATGTTGACGGAGTAAATTTTAGGCATTATTTTCTATGCAGTCAATAGGAAAATACAACAACTAAAACCAATCAACTTCAACCTATTATTTGTCGTTGAACTTTTACCTCTTCTAGATCGAAAATACATCTAGAACATCTGAACTTTAAGATGAATTGAAAAATATTCACGAGATTTCTTTGATGATTAAAACTTTTTCTTTCTTACTTATCTCCAAACTTTAGAGTCTCGTTTCTTTTATCAAATTTCAAGCATAAAAATTATGCTTATGTGAACACGGTGACTTTTAAACCTACTTCTTACGACCAACTTAACAGGAATCCTTTAGGTCTTTAACATAGTCTCTATATAAAAGAAATCAGAATCAATGTGGGCAATTTGATTCCCAATAAAAGACCATGACCGATCATTCCTGCAAAATATTTATGGGATGCACATAAAGGGAAAGCCGGTGTATAATTCGAATGCTCAGTTCTAACATCATAAACAGAATTTCGACGCTTATGTGCAACAATTTTTTATTTATTCTCCGAGACATCAGTGGTATGATTCCTCATATATAATTGAGTGTGAATGTGAACCTGAGAAGGTCTCCCAAGACGGTTAGGTCTCCCAAGACGGTTAAGCATTCAACAATTGAAGCAGATGACACGGCATTGTTAGAAGCCTTATCTTGACTCTAATGTGGTGGTAATTTGATAAGAGCAATGTATTCACACAACTTAAATCTGCACAAACCTCTTGAAGAAGCTTTCAAAGTGTGTACAATCCTGAATGGACTGCAAACAAGTGGATTTGCCACCAAAACAGCCCAGAGGGTCAGGGTGAAAGCATGCATGATGACTGTCTGTGAACTCAAATAACTTCGATTATTCTCTTCAAAAGAATTTAAACAAATTTTCTGTTCCTGGGATGTCACTAGTCTTAACTCATATTGATACCCTCCAAATATACCCAGTCAAGTGTGTATGAATTATGCAATGCAACATATTGAAAGACAAAATTTATAGAGTTTAAACTATACTCAGGAGTTCAAAATAAATAATTGCTTAGATTTCTCCCCTTAACTAGTTTTGAATCACATGCTATCAATAATTTAAAATTCATTCCCGGTGAAAACACCTTTCTAATCTCAAGACGTCCAATCAATCTTTTGAAGATAATGGGGGAAGGGGAAGGGGAAGGGGGGGAGAAGACATCAACAATCTATATACCAATTTGCTAAACTTTCCTCCTTTCATTCACAACTTAATTGTAGGAACATATGACGATATAACTTAACGTATTACCCCAATTTATAAATTAGTTAAGGCTTGAGCAAGAGTGAGAAACCAAACTTGGGACTCTTTTCCAAAGCCTGTGTTTCAAATGCGCCTGAGATTGTCAAGAATGACTTATGTGTAAGCTCATGCTGCAATAAGGCCCCAAGATTTCCATGGTTGTTCAGCTTTGCCTTCACAACTGTCTGAGGATCAACCACATATGAACATCCAACTGTCAACGTGTTCTCATTTGTAGAGAACCTTCTGCTAATCTCTCCCACAGCAGCTCCCCCATTTAATCGGTCTAGCTCGTGCAAGTATGACACCTTCATGGAGTCTCCCTTGTCAGCTCTGCAAAAATGAAAAGTAAAACGATTATATACCAAAACAAAAATTTGCCAACATTGACGTCACATGCTAATTTGTGCCCTAAAAAATTGTAGGGTGCGTTTCTCAACACAATCAATACAAGTAATTCAATAATTCTTCCAGAGTCGCAATGTCTAAAAATAGCTTCATTCAAACGCATCTAAAAATTGTTAAAGAAAGAACATCCTAGTACAAGTGTACAACATTGAGTTTCATGCCAAAAGAAAATCACCATATCAATAGTATTTGCCTTTACAAGGATGTGCTCCTTGTGCCATTTTAACATTTGATAATTAAAAAAAAAAACTCAATTACTTACAAAATTACTGAAGCATTGGAACTTGGCATTTTCAAGCACACACCAGCATTGTACTTTGTAAACTTGCGAATACTTGTGGAGAAGCTGGTTTCTGCTCCAAAGGCAATACTGGGAGTACCAATTGTTGCAGAAAAATCAATAGCAGGGGAGCGGTTTAAACCAACAGCAGTAGTAAAAGCAACATGATCATGAAGATACTGAACCTCAAACTGCATTAAAAACACATAATTATTAAGAGTCAAATATGATATATTCCTGTCGAATCTTACATCCCAAGACAGAACCTCGGCACAACAGTTGTAGTTGTCGTCATGTGACCCAGAGATCACAGGTTCTATTCACATAATCAGTCTCTTGCAAATACAAGGTAAAATTGTCGCCACGTGCATCTCGGTACCTTGCCAGAGTTGTAATCAGGTAGCCTTATAGAAGCAATGGATTTCGTGGAAGGAACAACATCTGGTATAGTAAATGTTGTCAACACCTGCATAACAGATATTTATATATATTACTCCTTGCCTAAGAAAAACAGAAAACATCATATTTTTGAAAATCATGAAATAGAAGATAGAGATATAGCTATATACATTTGATTCAGTATCAACTTTGACATGAACGGTTTTGTTCTTGTACTTAAATTCCGCAGCCACATCCCCAGAGGAGAGTCCTCTACTCTTCACCAATGTTGAATTCAAGTCCTGAAATTGTGATAGGTAACTAACAATTACTACTACTCTCAAACAATATGAAATAAAATAAATAAATAAATAAATAAGGAATTTCAATAGATAGCCGCAAATAAGAAGAAAAAACTCAAACTATAAAATTAACACAGAAATCTTTTCTTTCAAGTGGCGAATGAATGAAAGTATGAAAACGATGAGTCGTGTAATTAGGATTATAGGAAATTAAATACGACACAAAATAAATATTCAGCTAATAATAATGATGAATAAATAAATAAAAGGTAAGAGAGGAAATTAGGGGTTCGGGGATGAGAAAGCGAACGCACGAGACCAGTGTCGGAGGAGGAAGAGATGGTGAATCTTTGATCGGAGTTGTAATCCTTAGTAAGAATATCTGTAAAACCAGAATGGGAATTAGAGAGAAAAGCATAAGAATCAAAAATGTGAAAATGGGAATTAGTTGTTACCTCTGGCTTTCTTGCCGATATCAGAGAAGAATCCAGGTCCTTTGCCTGACATTTTTTCTTTTCTTTTCTTTTTTTCTGCACAGAACGAAAGAGAAAGAATCAAGGGTTTAGGGTTTATGTAAACCCTTGTACTCTCTCATTTGCGGTGGGAATTGGCAAAAAAAAATTATTACAAAAAAAAGAAAATAACTACATTCATGCTCTCGTTGAGAGTCGAACTCAAGACCTCCCGCTTACTAAACGGGTGCTCTAACCAACTGAGCTACGAGAGCTGGTTTAATCTACTTATCTATTGTTAACTAAAAATAATATAATAATGACAAATATAATTGTTTATATTTTTTTTGATTTGGCAAAGTTTTTTCCCCTAGTTCAAAAACAAAAAGGTTTTGATAGTTATGGTATGATAATGTAACAACTAATTAGTGTTATTATTATCTATCAATTTCACCGTTAAATCGATTGTATTAATCCAACGGTTATATTTATTTTCATCTTCGTATAGTTATGATTCCCCAATTATTAAATATGGGAAATCATAACTATACAAAAGTGTAAATAAATATAAAGTATTAAATATGAGAAATCATAAGCATACAAAGATGAAAATAAATATAACCGTTAGATCAACTAATCAATCTAATGGTGAAATTGATTGGTAATAATATTAGTAATAAAACTAATTAATTGTTACAATTCTCGTGATAGTTAATGTATGGTACAATGTTATGTATGCATGGAGGTTTGGACTTTAAACATAATTTTTTTTATCATCAATACATATATATTTTACAACATGACTTTTAATGTAAGTGTGCAATGCTCCACTGGATGGCTCTAGAGCTGATTTATTAAGTAGTTTTTCCTTGCCACACTTATGCTCTGATTTTTGCACTAATTTTAATAGTGATTAAAGAAATCTTTCTCGAAGCAAAATCAAGATGCTTTTCATTAACAATATATCTTCAAGGAGGGGAATGGGTGTGCGGATCTTCTAGAAAATTAGCATGGTCCTTTCCCTTGGGTTTTATGTATGTACTTCAACACTAATTTTTCTTATAATCTAAATAAATTAAGAATATATATATATATATATATATATATATATATAATAAGTTTGATAATGGATAAGTGAGAGATATACTTGTATTGCAAATGGTGGATGCAATTTTTTTCCTGCTAATACTTAGAAAATAATTGTTGAGAACTGATCTGGATAAAATATAGTAGGTCTATTAGAGGCCCAAAGACATACAACGTAGCCCAATCCCTCGAGGGCCCAGAATTAGGTGCGATGTCTACCATCGCACATAACGCGACGTGATGCACTCATCGCGCATGAAACCGCCTAATTGCATAATTTCAGAAGTAAGGAAACTATCTCAAGGATTAATACAAACCCACTGCGCCTCTGTACTAATAAACAAAGGACAGCATCAGCTCGCCGCTGCTCTATCAAAGTAGCCTGGCATTAAGAGATAAGGTTATTAAGGCTCTAGCCAAACCTGCAGCCCAGAAACGGCCAATCAGAGGCCATACCGCTTTCTGAATGCGGCATTAGAACCACTATATAAACATAGGGTACATGCTCAGGTATGATAATCTAATTCACTAGGAATACATATACACCTGCAACTGATACTGACTTAAGCATCATAGTATCATTGCAGGTACCCCCCATCCAGTCTCAACAACTGCGCCAACAAAGGACCAGAGTTCATACATCATCATTAACAACCTCCAGTCCAAGAAGCAGAACATCCTCATCAATCGTGTGTGATTAGGCCAGATATATTTTGGCCAGCCCATATTGTATTTGGTCTGATCATTAGCGCCATCTGTGGAAATTCTATCATTTAGAACCCATTTCTTTCTAACTTAAAAACATGGTTGATACCAGAAGCAAATCCCAGAACGGCTCCAAAGGAATGCAGAAGGAGACTCCTGCCTCTCGGGAGAAATCAGCCTTGTCGGTTGCACCAATTTCCGTGCACCATGATAACCCACCTACGACCCAACACTTGTTGAACCTTATCACATAGCAAAATAAAAAGATTGCCCAACAGAATCGAGATTTAGCTCGATTGAAAAAATCACAAAAGGCTAAAGAAAAAAATCAGGGAAAAGGAAAAGAAAAAGAAGAAGAGCCTAAGAAAGATCTTGAAAATTCCGGCGAAAGTGAGTCGACACAAGAACATTCAAAAGGAGATCTTGGACCTTCGGGTCACAAAAACAAAAGAGGTGAAGAAGTAAAAGACACCAATGAGAACGAGAATTCTCACGGAAATTGTAGAACAGTTTCAGGAATCTTTCATCCATTTACCCCATGTATCATGAACGTCCCTATTCCTTGAGACGTAAAAATTACAACTGAGAAATACAACGGGAAGGGAGACCCGCAAGAACATCTGGAACAATTCTAGACCAACATGATGGCACAAGATGTAGCCGACCCAATAGCATGTCGGTTATTCCCAACAACCTTGAAGGAGGTAGCACTTAGGTGGTACTCCGCGTTACCACCCAATTCAGTCCAAAGTTGGGAAGATTTAACTAGCCAATTCATTGAACCATACTGCCTTGTTCATGTAGCCAATTCAGTCAGTGCTCGGGATGTTACATGCCCACCAGCTTCTGCCTTGTTCGTCATTGAACCATACTGTATTGGGAGAGAGGCCCTGCTCTAATACCACTTGTAATGCCTAACTACTTGCAGGATCAATGACTGTCCCCACAAACCAACACAAGATTTTTCAGCATACTTTGTCTTCACTCACACACTTCGTGAGAAACTTACAGGAGGTCACCTCATCCTAGAATTTCTCCAAATCAAGCATGCTTAACTATGAAATTCTTAAGTTATGGGCTACAAAAAAGTATATGCATATTGTTAGTATAGGGTAGTGCATATTAATTCCTTTAAGTCATAATCAATTGTATAGTACCATACCTGCACAACCTCTAGATCCCTCTCGTTCAGGTGTTAATTCGATTTATTCATGTACCCCTCCAGCTGGAAGCCTGCCAGGAGCCTATTATCACAACCCTCTTACCTCAGCGGGTCTAAACTTCAGGCACTGGAAATTTTGACTAGTAGTACAATCCAACCTACGTGTCAACCGACTATCTACTTTCCACCCTCGTCAGCGCCCGAGATGTTACATGCCCACCAGCTTCAACATGGTTCGTTCTCGAACCACACTATACTGGGAGAGAGAACATGCTTTGATACCACTTGTAACGCTCGGCCACTTGCAAGACCAATTATTGTCCCCACAAACCAACACAAGACTTTTCAACATGCTTTGTTTACACTCACATACTTCCTGATAAACTTTCAGGAGGTCATCCATCCCAGAATTGCTCTAAGTCAAACTTGCTTAACTATGAAGTTCTTAAGTTATAGGCTATCGAAAAATAGATGCATCTTGTTAGTATAAGCAGTACATATTAATTCCTTTAAGTCATCCTCAATTGTACAGTCTCATACCTACACAGCCTCTGGATCCCCTTGTTCAGGTGTTAATTTGATTCATTTATGTACCCCTCTCTCTCGAAGCCTACTAGGAGTCTATTGTCACAGCCCTCCTACTTAGCAGGTCTGGACTTCAGGCAATGAGATCTTCACTGGTAGTACAATCCAACCCACATATTAAAAGACTATCTATTCTTCGCCCTCATCAGCGCTCAGGATGTTACATGTCACTATTGGAGGTGGACGATACGTATTGGTGGCTTGCACCCAGAGTGCTTGCTCAAATTCTTGCCAAAAAATATTTTTCCTTGACTTATCCATATGTAACTTGAAGCCATTCTTCCACCATTAACTTATTGACAGGGACATTCTTCTTAGTAGCACAAATACGACTTCCTAGTGGATCTGAGGGCTGATGGTGCTTATGGAGGAAGGCTAGGGTTTCAAGATGTTTATACCTGTGAGGTTTAAACTTGAAGCCACTCTCCACGAATTAAAACCCTTGTTTTAATATAATACTTTTATTTTATATAGGGAAAGACATTTCTATTTTTATTGTAAAAAAATATTTCTCTGTCACACTCAAATAAAAATGAATGGGTCTCACTAACTTTTTCTCTTTCTCTTCTTCACAATAAGACTCGCTCACTTTTATGTGAGTGTGGTAAATAAATATTTTCTACATCAAGAATAGAAATGTTAAACTACCAAATTAATAATAGTAGCTCAGTTTACGTATGAGAGCTGAGCATATGAAAGTGAAAGTATGTGCTCGATCCTCACCACTATTAACTTTGGAAAGCGTTCAGAGCCTTAATATGTGACAACCCCATAATAGAATACCTCATGTGGAAAATATCTATAGTTTATAATAAATAAAAAATATATTAAACCTTTAATGGGATGACACATAACGCTTTTTCTCTTTATACATTACTTTCCATCTTTCATTTTTATTTTAAGCATTTAACTTGAGACAACAATTATTTTATTTGTTTTGTCTTTTCCCACAGTACCATAACTGAATATAAAAGGAAAAAGAGATAGATTAATTAATTAATAATTTTTAATTTTTTTCATAAATGAAGGGGTTTAAGTCCCCAAAAATGATATTACTTTTTATTGGTAGTAGTGTAATATCTCCACTAGATCTTTAATATTAATGTCCTGGATAAAAAAATGTATACTGCGGGATTGAGCAATTATAAAGTTATTACGATAAATGAACTGAATTTAAACTTGACAAAAAAACGCATGTAGAGTTAAAATAAAGAAACGACTTGATCGGGTCGATTTAGAAATTGGTAAATCGGTCGTACAATCAGTTTACAGTGGCGGAGCCACTTGCAGGGTGGCCTCAGTCCGGGCTAAATTTTAATAAATTGTATATCATGTATAATTATATAATTAATTATAATTTAGTCCAATTTAAAATTGTAATTTGGCCCAGGCTAAAATTTATAATATGGCCATATCAAAAAATTAAAATATATTTGGTAAGAAATTTAGGTAAGTTATATTAAGTTATTTGTTCCATTTCCATTTATTTAAAAAAATTAAAATATATTCAATAAAATTAAAAAATATTTAATAAAATTATAACTCTTTTTTATGTTTCCTGCTCAGGTGTTTAGTATTTAATATAATTTAAATATATTATGGTATGAATTAACTAAAATTAAGAAAAATATATACACATATAATATTTTGGCCCGGGCTCCGGTTGGAGCCTGGCTCCGCCACTGTCAGTCTGGTTGAAGTAACGGACCGGTTGTGCAGCAAAAATGGTGCAACTCGTTCCAATCCGGCCGATTTTCATGAAAATCGGTGATCCAGTCGATTAATCGGTGACCCGGCACGGTAAAAAAAAAATTCCAAATTTTGTATTTAAATTTTTTTTCATAATGAACATATTTAAATATTTTTTGTTTATTAACTTACATAAGTTATGTACCTACAACACTAATATTATCTCAATTATGCACTATGCATAAAATTTTGATTTGATTTATAGTTAAAGATGTCGTTTGCTGAACCTAAAGCCCCGTATACACTCATTATATTTTTGTTTGATCCTTTATTGGATAATAATATATGATTTTTTATTTTTTATTGAATTTTTTAATATTTTAATATTTTTTTAGATATTTGAATATGTTTATAATTTTTTAATATAAATTATAAAATTACATATAATTATCGGATTATGCAATTGAACCAATAATCCACTGGTTGAACTAGTGACCCAGTCACCAGTACCTCGACCGGGTCAATGACCAGGCCAGTTTTAATATCATTGCTTTACATAATCAGATAATTTCTTATGATTTGTTTTAGGAAATACTAATGAATGTCCGTAGGATATTTATTAAAGATTTAAAATTTAAAACATTTGAGTAAATGATGTGTTTTTTCATTAAATGCTTTTTTGTTCATAATTAAGCAATCTTAACAGTATGTAAAAAAGAAGAAGAAGCAATCTTAACAGATAAATAAATTACAACATACTTTTTGTTTTATTTTTTTGCTATTTGGTTTTTGATGTACACTACAAATATTGTTGTATTGTATTACATGGTATCTGATATGGATAAATATTAAATAGAAAAACGTAAATTTATTAACATATATTTTGGTCGCATTGTTTATTTTACACTAAAAACTACATAAGAATAACAACAACAACAAAAAAAATACATAAGAAAAGATTTTATCATTTTTAGTTATTATGATATTTATCATTCAATTACAGATAAGGGATGTGGGAATAAGACAAGAAAGGACGGTAGAGGAAAATTAGACAATAAATGATTGAGTTATTTTAAGTATAGAATGATGTTATACGTCAAAAAAAAATTATTCCCTAAGTAAGAGCTTCTTTTATTTTATCAATCCGAAAAAGTAGAGAACACTCTTCAATCTTCATCGAATTGCGATCGTCCTACGCACGCGTTTAAAGAGGGGAGCCCTCGCACGTGCTTGCCGGATTGGAATTCAATAGGTGCACGTGTAGGCCCCAGACCACGAGGCTCGGATACACATGTTAAAATGTTATCCCCTCTCTCCATTCCCTCCCATATATTACGCATTTATCAACTCTCATCTCTCACTCTCTCGCCCTCCCTTCTTCACCTCGACCCGAATCCGAACTCGAACCGGAACCCGAACCCGAACCTACCTCGCTTCGGATCCTAAATCGGGTACAGTTATGGGAACGGAGAGTTACACTTACATGGGACGAAGCTTGAGCGAACTGAGCATCAACGATGATTCATCTTCTTCAGCTTTCAGCGACTGCAACAGTGACAGATCTGGTGAATTCACCACCGCTTCTTCACAATCCCGACGACTCCTCATCGCTTGCGCTTCCGAGAATTCCGACGATTTCATCCGTCAACTCGTTTCCGATCTCCACTCCTCTTCCATCGACGATCAAAAACAAGCCGCCATGGAAATCCGATTACTCGCCAAGAACAAACCAGAAAATCGCATCAAAATCGCCAAAGCAGGCGCGATTCAACCTTTGATTTCTCTTATCTGTTCACAAGACCTTCAACTTCAAGAATACGGCGTCACCGCGATTTTGAATCTCTCGTTATGCGACGAGAACAAGGAGGTTATTGCTTCGTCGGGAGCGATTAAGCCTCTGGTTCGAGCTCTCGGCGCGGGGACATCAACGGCGAAGGAGAACGCGGCGTGCGCGCTGCTTCGTCTCTCGCAGGTGGAAGAGAACAAGGCGGCGATTGGGCGTTCCGGCGCCATTCCGCTCCTGGTGAACCTTCTACAAGGCGGCGGTATCCGCGGGAGGAAGGACGCGTCGACGGCGCTGTACTCGCTGTGTACGGTGAGGGAGAACAAGATCAGGGCGGTGAAGTCGGGGATTATGAAGGTGCTAGTTGAGTTGATGGCGGATTTCGAATCGAACATGGTGGACAAGTCGGCGTACGTGGTGAGCGTGCTGGTTTCTATGCCGGAGGCGAGGGCGGCGCTTGTGGAGGAAGGCGGTGTTCCGGTGCTGGTGGAGATCGTTGAGGTTGGGTCGCATAGACAGAAAGAAATCGCGGTGGTTATTCTGTTACAGGTCTGCGAGGATAACGGCGCTTATCGCACCATGGTGGCTCGAGAAGGTGCGATTCCACCTTTGGTTTCTTTATCCCAATCCGGCACCAATCGCGCCAAGCAAAAGGTATTCAGTTCAACAACACTGTCATTTCTCTCGGTGCTGACGTGGCACGGTGTTCTTCAAAAAAACAGTTTGGACTTTGGAAGAACTTGTAGTGCCACGTCATACCCCTTGCTGAGTCTACCTCCACCCACTGCAAAAATTGCATTAATATCACAATCCATCATTATTATTATTATTATTTATTTAGTAAAATCCCGGATATTCTTCTTGGTTGGGTTTGGCAATATTTTAAGATCTAATTTAAATAATTAAATTTTATAAAACATTGTTCTTTCATTTGCTGCTAGTATTTTATTTTATTTTATTCTCTATGTTTTTTTGGTTTTGGTGGTTTATTGTTTCTTTACACGTGAACAGGCAGAGAAACTAATCGAGCTTCTGCGGCAACCAAGATCCGGCAACGCTGCTTCCCGGACTTCAGAAGTGGCGGCGTAAACCCCCAGCGTGTTAAATGTGAAACTACGGTTAAAACTGTTAAGACAAAGTGCGTCCTCAAAAGAGAGACAGAGAGCTCAAATTTGTAAATATCCTCGTTACGGAGAAGCGTTGCAAAGATTGTGGTGTAAATGATTGAGTTTGAGTTTGGTTTTTTTTTTTTTTTCTTTTTCTTTTGGACTTTTACAAAATAATGCACACCACTCAATGCCACTGCATCTTTTGTTTTCTGAATTCTGAATGTGATGATTGGTGCTACCTCTTTTGGGTCCTTATGCTATTTATATTATTATTATCGTTCTAAACATGGTACTAACTTTAATTAATTTTAAAATTTGAAGATTAGCAGGGTAAGAAAACTTGATTTTGAAAAGTATAGTTCTTCTAGGCATTCTACCAAAAAGGAATCTAGTGTTTTATATTTTATTTATTTGTTTACTCGGATTAGGTAAGATGAGAGATAACATCAAACCGAGAGCAAAAATAAAATATCTTGATAATTGCAAAGTGCATACATAAGATATCTCTGGAATATGGACCAGTCACTGGCTGATTTTTATTTTTATTTTTCGGTGGATATTTGATTTGGAATTTTTTTCATTTTTAAACTCCAATAAATTGAAGGGCAGTTTGAAGTTACATAAAAAAACAATTAAATAAAGTAGGGAGGAGAATGATGGTTTGAAAAGAAAGTGTCAATTTGCTTAAAAAAAGAAAGGAAAAAAAGGAAAGTGTCCACATGGTTGGCGTGGAAGAGAGGACGATGAAGAAGACAACAAATATTGAAAAGGAAAGTGGGTTAGGAGTTAGGACTTTAGGAGCGGGGGGAGTCGTAAGCAGCTTTGATTTGTATGGCTATTTTTATTATATAATATTTTATTTTGATTTTATTTTGTTCTTTATCTAGATTTAAAAAAAGCCATAAAGGAAACCGAAATCATGTATCGAACAACACGTGTATCGTATTCCGTTAGTGATTAGCGGTTAGTCGTTCCGTCCCATCATGGATTAGGATAGTTGTCCGGTAATGTGGATCCCTGTTTGACTGCTGATGGACTCTCTTTGATTTGTACGTGTTTTATTATTGGGAAGACTATTTGTCATTTTAAATGACAGAAAATTATATCATTTTAAGAGATATAGACACAGAAAATTTAAATTTTAAATTAAAAAAAATCAACCACTTTCTCTCTTCCATGATTTCTATTTTCCTGTGTCTATCTCACTCCTAAAATGATATAACTTATGTCATTTAAAATGACAAACACCAAACTCTTTATTATTATTTATTTTTTGGAGAAACAGATCTTTGAAATGTTTGTCGCATAAATTTTAGAAAAGAATTATATTTATAAAAAATTTATAAATTTTTATAAATTATACTATATTAGAAGTAATATATAATCTCTAGTGCATAGTGTAATTGATAAATAAAAAGTTTATAAATATAATTTTTTTTCTAAATTTTGTATATAATTTTACATAGCAAATATATGGTATTATATTAATAAATAAAAAGAAGGGAATTGTCTAAATTATGTCAAAAAATTGATATATAAATAATATTAAATAATAATACTGTTGAAACCATTATTATTTTAAAGGGAATTATAAATGTTATGTTACAGAAAAAATAAAAATCATTCATGCACTATTAAAAACTTGTGGGTCCTATCGACTAAAAGAAATTTTAAAAAATAAAATAAAAAATCACGACAATCAATGTATCAGCGGGAAGGATGTTGCTTTTTTCTGCAATAGGATACAAACAACACCTTATTTTAAAACTTTGTTATTGTTTATAAAAAAAAAAAAAAACTTTGTTATTATTTTAAACCATTATTATTCTTTTCTATATTTTATTATTTTAAAACTTTGTTGAAACCATTAGCATTTGTCAGTAGGTAAGTGGTAACATCTTCCGCTGATTTGACTTTGTGAATCAGATGTCATTATCATATTAATTAAAAGAATTTTGCAGACACATGTACTTACATATTAGCGGGGGGAAAATATTAAGAAGTTTAAATTTTGTATGCGGAAAATATTCGATTATTATTTTTTAATCAAATGGCATGGGGTTGTATATTAAGATTCGAATTTATATGCGGAAGGAGAAAAAAAAAACTCGCTGGCTCGGTAGTTCCTGATGGAGGTCGAATCGAGTCTTTCGCTAAGATTTTGAATAGTGTCCTAAATTCAAGTTAATTATGTTTTGTCTCTTTTTTGGAGAAAGACAATCAAACAATTTTCAATCATAGTCGGATCGGATCATTCATATAATATACAAACAGAAACTTCAGATATTAAAAATCAAGATTTAATTTGTAATCTTGAATTTGAAGAATGAGAATATGTGTTTGATCCTATATAATATTATCTTTAGGAAGAATTTAAAGCTTTATTCTCAAAATTCGCCTGAATCAGACTAGCCGCAAAGGGATGAACCAATTAAAATATCTAAAAACAAAAATTTAATTTCTAAAGATCGAAACAAAACATGCCCATAATTATTTTTTTTGTCTCAAAAGCGAAACTAATATTGAAAAAAAAGGTGTATCTCAAATAATTTGGCAGGGCAGCTACCTTTTTTTCATCGTCAATTATTAATTAAATATAAAAAGAAATAATTTATAATAAATTTTTTTATAATTAATCAATCAATTTTTTTTCATGAATAGACTTATTTTTTTTTTCTTTATATAGTTTGTTTTGCGAAATTCTTTAAATTTTAAGTGTTAAATATATGTTTTTGTTCACACTGTTGGGTGTGTTCCTTCATTTAATATTTGGTGGGTAGGCATTAGGGTAGGCAAAACGGGTCAACCCGGCTAGACCCGGTCCAACACGAAAAAATGAGCCGGGTTAAGATTGGCTCAAAAAAAAAATGAGCCAGAAAAATCAATTCGACCCGACCCGAGTCAGATTAGGGTTGGCTCGAGAGTTGGCTAAAAAATATAGCTCATGAGTTGGCTTGAAAAAATGGCTCGCATGTTGACTCATTTTTAGCCTATTTAAATGAACCTGTAGTATTAATACACCAGCTATATGGCTTCTATCAGTTTAAACAATACAATTGTCTTACAGAATAATTTATAAAAAAGGAAAATAGAAAAGGGTTATAGAATGAAAAGTAAAAGCTAAATGTTCTAATTTCGAATTATATTCACAACAAATTTTCACCAACATCGAGAAACAATCAAAACCACTTGCTACAAAGTGGGTAAGATATTTGAACCAAACAGAGTCAGCACAGCCTAACAATATAAAAAAGGCAACGATGTGAGAAGATCAGGGACTTAGGTTTAGAGAAGGAAGAAAGATGATGACAACTTGTGTGGGTTTTGTCCATTTTTGTATATTATATTTTGTATTTTTTATAAAAATAAAAAAATAAAGAAAAAACTCAACCCGCGAGCTGACTCGTTTGACCGACGGGTTGGCTCATTTTTCCCCGAGCTAGCTCAGCTGTTTTTTGACGGTGTTATGGACCAGAGTAAGACCATAGTCAGCACAAGCCCACAGGTAAGCACTATAAATAGGAGTTAAAGGCCACAGGTATGGGGACTCTTTCTTTACCCTATTTTTATACAATCACGACAGTACACACACACACTCCTTTGGCTACGACCGTAATATCGTGTGTAGTGATTTGCTACACCTGAGGTACCTAACTCATAGGTATCTAGATAGAAGCACTCAAATCCTAAACCAATCATCCAATCTCAATTGGACACATCTGCAAAGGCATAACATTGGCGCCGCCTGTGGGGAACTTTCCCATAACAAACTTCTAAAAAGCCAATTAAGGAGATGGTGAGGGCTACAAGGAGTGGTTTTCGTCAACCTTCAACATCAGATCCTGGGAACCTGCAAGTTCCTCCTCCCATTAGGGAAGATCCAGAAGAATAGGGGCAACAGATGCCACAAATCCTAGATCCGAATGCTGTACACGTTAGTGATGTGCACTCAGATTCAGCGTCAACGCCAGCGGACAATCCAGATGCGTCGTACCTACAAGGGTTACAACCCATTGAGGATCTGAACGCAATAGCTATAGATTCACTGGTGACGGATTTAGCCATGGCAGCTGTTCTTCGAAGGATGGAGGAGTTGGAGCAGCGCAATGAGTTGCAGCGACGAGCGGACGCAAGACAGATCCGGGAATTAGAGGCTCGGTTGTGGCACGTAACCAACCCAGATCCTGAGCGAGCCATCGCGTAGGCCATGACAGATTTGCAGATCACTGATCCCCAACAGGAAACCCATGAATAAACTCGCCGTCCTGCAAGAACTAATGATGGCCGACCCCTACAAACTGCAGTGAACCACCAACAACTACGACATCCTTTAGGCCGGGGTAATCCAGGTCACCACCAACAACCTCAATATGAAGAAGTGCAGGGCTGGGGTAATCAGGGTTATCACCAGCAACCTCGATGTGAAGAAGGATTGGGTACGTCAGATGAGATGCGAATGGCCGAGATCCCCCACCCCCACCGTCAGGGACCCGTTGTTCGGGCTCCAGATGACGTAACTGGGGTATATCGAAGAAAATATAATAGGGGACTGTATGACGACAATCCTTTTACGGATGAGATCGTAAAAGCTCCATATCCGAAAAATCTAAATTTATCCGAGCTGATTAAGTATGACGGAACGCAGGATCCTCAGGTACATTTGGATGCCTTTGACACGGCTATGTTTATCAAGGGGATAGAGGAACCCTTAATCACAAGGCTTTTCGCAACCACGCTGACTGGTGCAGCCCAAGCGTGGTTCTCGTCGTTGCCAGCTGGGTCCATCAGATCCTTCGAGGAGTTTGGTGGACGGTTTTTGCTCAACTTTGCCACCAGTAAGAAGCAGCCAAAGTCAGAATTTGCGCTGGGGAAGATTAAGCAACAACCCGAAGAAACACTACAGACATACTTAGATCAGTTCAAGTTGGCCGCCTTGCAGGTACCCGGGTTATCAGAAAACATTCATTTACATCTGGTGATAGCTGGGTTGCATGGAACATCCCGGCTAGCAAAGTCAATATATAAAGACCCGCTTCGGACCTTAGTTGAGTTCAACACGCGCTCTAAGAAATACTTGGAGCTCGAACAGATGGAGCTGGAAAATGTGGACCAAAAACATCAACCTGGTCAGGGAGACAAGCGAGTTCAAGGCTGGAGAAACAGAAAGAGGAGAGGGGGTCGGCTCACAAGCCCCCCTAAAGATAAGAAGTTCAGAGAGGAAGGACGAGGCAAGAAGCCGGCCAAGGAGGAT